CTCTCTCTCTCTCTCTCTCTCTCTCTCTCTGTGTCTCTTCTCTGGCTGGCTGTCTCTCTAGTCTCTCCCTGTCCATCACTCAGGTCCTCCCCTGCTAACCTTATGGCCACACCTCATGGGTCTACCTCCTTGGATGTCTACTCTGGAGACCAATAACCCGAGGACCCCATGGCTGTCCCCCCCACCAGCCAGGCTGCTGGGCTGGGATCTTTCTCTTCCTCTTCTGCAGTCAAGCCAGGCCAGGAGGGTCAAGGGCTGGTCAGGGCCCTCCCAACCTGGCATTTGGCAGCCCCTGAAGTTAGCGCCAGGTTCCTGATGTCCAGCCTCAGAATAGGTTTGTCCCTGGCCTAGCTATCTCCAGGCCTGGCTGAACTGGGGTCAAAGAAGCATCCAGTAGGAGTCTGTGTGGTTCAAACAAGAAGTGAATATGGGGTGTCCAACCAAATATCTTGGAGTTTGCTTTCTAACCCTTCTGCTGGCTTCTTTCTCAGTAATTGGGCACTGGGGCAGGGGTGAAGCAAGCCGCTTCTGCTTCTTGAAGGAATAGGATTATTCTCCAAGAAGGGGCCTGGAAATGGCTGGCCCACGTTCCCACAGCTTGGGGAGGACCAGCTAGTTGGTGCCCAGGTGAGGGTGGAGAGCCTCAGTCGCAACAGTCCCCTGGCACCATCCTTCTGAAGGAAGAGTTTATTTATTTGCTCATTGGCTGGGTCAGGCCATCCTGTGGGGCAGGGCCATGTGGCTCTAGCTCTGTCCTTCCTAGCCCAGGTGCTGAGGCTGACTGGGATACACGCGTTGTCCTCCTCACAGGAAATCCAAGCAGGCAGCCGGCTCAAGGGCTTGAAGCAGAGTCCCACCAGACTCTGGGGTCCTTGTCATTACCTCAGAGTGAGCTGAGTCACCTGTGGGATCTGGGGAAGACTGAGCTGGAGGGAGGTTGTCATATCCTGGGGGACAACTGTCCACCTGTGGGACCCTAGGAATGTTATCTACATTGATTGGCTTCTCTGGGAAGTAGAACTCAAGAGCGAGTGTGGGAGAAAGACAAGAGAAATGAAGGTGCACATTTACTGAGCAATCACTGAGTGCCACACACTGTCCTGTGTGTTTTGTGCAGATGATTGCATTTACTTCTCACAGTGACCCTATGAAGTGAGGTTATTTGTCCATGAGCAGATGGGGAAACTGAGGCATCAGAGGTTAGCTGCGTTGCTCAAGATCACACAGCCAGAAAGGATGAGGTCAGATTCAATCCCAGGTCATCTGATGCCAGAACCCATGCTCTTAGCCATTGGTTCAATGTCTTGATTACTTTTCTCTCTCTGTCGTGACAAAAATACCTGGCACCCAAAGTTAAAGGGGGAAGGGTTTATTCAGTTCACTGTTCCTAGAGGTTTCAGTCCATAATTGGCCAGCCCCAAGGCACGGGGGCAGAGGAACAGCACTGAATGGTGATGGAAGACAGCAAAAACAAGAAGGGACCTTAACAGCATCTTTCTGCCCCTTTTATCTTATTAAGACTACTTAGGGTTAGGGGCTGGGGGTTTAGCTCAGTGGTGCCGCTGCCTGTCTCGAAAGGACAAGGACCTAAGTTCAATCCCTGGTACCAAAAAGACCCCTCAAAAAACAAAACAAACAAAACACTTAGGGTGGGTGGCACTCATGCCCTTAATCTTAGTGCCCTTGGGCCTGGTCCCACCATGAGTCTATCACACACTTAGATGCAGCCACCTCTAAGAAAGCTTTGGGGGGACATCTAATCACAAACCGTAACAGCTTCTGTTTGCTCAGCCTTGGATCTGTGAGATGCGCAGCTCCACTAAATGTTTGCAAAATGAGCTTCCACCTTCCCACCTACGAAATAGTTGCTGTGGTGCATGCATGCCTGGGTTTGCTGTGAGGCCACAGGAAGAGATTGGGGATCTGCCTGGTGCTGCTTGTGCTGACAGGGCAGTGTGACCGCCACCTTTGCTCCTTTTGTCTTTTGGGGTGAGTGTACTGCTGTGTTGAGTACACACGGGGCTTTCTCTGAGCCAGGTCTGTGATACATGTTTAATGGTGACTCAGTAAACCTCCTGGTGCTCTAGAACATGAGGGCTGTTCTGATCCCCATGTGTTGTGAGGAAACTGAGGCCTAAGAAGTAAGGGAGGTGGGTGTGAACCCAGGCTGACTGACTCCAGAATACACCCTCTTGACCATTATGAAGACTGTCTCTTGGTGCCCGCATTACAGATAGGGACATGGAGCCTGGGCAGGGAGGGTCTTGGCCCCACTTGCTGCTGGGAGGCAGCTCCTGACACCCAGGAAGAGCTGCTGTCTTTACCAGTTGCTTAGCCTCCCTGGACTCCTCTGTTAAATGTGTTGGTCACAGCTGCTCCCTCAGAGAGTGAGAGTTATCTTACAGAGGGGTCAGAGCAGTGTCCTGCGTATAGTCAATGCTCAATAGGCATTTGCCAAAGTGAACGGGTCACTCTGTTTCCTGGAAAGGCTGCCTCACAGAGGCAAGGAGAGAGCTCAGTGTGGGGATTTGCTTCCTCCCAGTAGAACTTCTTATTTCTATGAGATAAAATTTCTATGAGATAAAATGAGTCCAGTGAGGAGGACTGGACATTGGAGCCCACAGAGACAAAACTCCTGAGATCCAAGGTTCCTGAGACACAAACAGCCACAGGGGGACAAGTGTGCTGAGAAAGAAGAGACCCTGGCAGCACCTCCCTTCCTCTGGGGATCTCCAAGGCCTGATGGCAGACTGGGCCTGCTGCTCCTCCAAGTTTTCCCCCAGGACCCCTGTCCTCTCTGTGGCCTCTTACTGGGGACAGACATGGGGCCAACACCCATGACTAGTGACACAGAAGGCAGGACAGTCACAGGTATTTAACAAATGCTACTAGCTATCTACTATGTGCAGATGCTGTGCTAAACCCTAGAAAAAACCAGATGAGAACTCCAGGACCTTGGAGCCCAGATTTCACGGGCATCTGCTTTATCATCCCAGAGCCCCATCTACCCATGGGGCCACTGAGGCTCATGGAAGCCATGTCACTGGCACTGAAATGAAATGGCCAAGCCACAAGGAGAACAAGTTTCCTGCTCCCAGCACAGCAGGCCAGGCCCAGACTAAACTCAGGGCTGGAAGTTGGATGACACTGCTGGGGAACAGAGGGAGATCTCTTTAGATCAGTCCCTAAGGACGCTCAGCCTTGTTCTTTTCCAGGTGTGTATTAACCCATAACCCAGACACAGCAGAATTAGTCACATCTTGGTGACTAACCACACACCCCACTTTGCATGGGTCATCTCAGCAATGCTCCTGATAAACAGGAGGTGGGAGTTGGGATTATGAACATTTCAGGGTGTCAGAGAGCAATCACTCTTCTGACTGCCTAGAAAGGGGGACAGTGAGGCTAAAGAGAAAAAAGATAACAGAGACTTGTATAATTGCAAAGTATATGGGGGACCAGGAGGTTAGTGCATCAAAAGAGGCAAAGACTCTCTGAGCTAACCATCATCCACTGGGAACACATAATAATTGGAGGGGCGGTGGTAATCCTATGTCAATGCAGATCTTATCCTGATGAGGGTTTTAGGTCACAAGATTCTTAGGTTGAGGAATACTATAAGGAAAGCATTCTTAACAATAGTGGGTGGGAAGAGTTAAGCTGATAAGGAATTTTTTCCTTCCCCAGGTGAAACATTTCTCTTACTACTCAGTTCTTAAGGAACAGGATGTCTTTAGCTGATGTAATCTTGTCCTTGAGTGTCACAGCATCATGGGACCACTGAGGTCTCTGCTGTGACCAGAGGCAAAAATGGAGCTACGGTTTTGCATGTCATAGCCAGCCTGTAGGGAAGAAGACTAGTCTGATCATAATTTAATTGTGAAATGATTTCTCCCCCAAATTATGTAGAATTGCTCCCAAAATCACGGGAGAAGTCCTTACACACAGAGGTATTGCCCAGGGTCACATAGCCGGTAAGTTGAATGCTGCCATACAAGTGCATGCCCATTGATACAAACCACTATTCTCTGCTTTAGCTTTTACCTGCAGTTGACAGCTGCCTTCCCCAGTCACGGAAAAGACCTGCAGAGCAGGTCATGGTTATGGCTCACCTTTTTGGTCTTCAAATACCAGCCATGTTCCCGTATGCCACAGGGATTTTGTACTTGCCTTTTTTTCTCCATGGGATCCCCTCACTCCTGACCTTCCCATAGCTGGCCGTGTCTCATCCTCTTGGCTCGGGTGACCCTTGCTCTGGAGGCTTCCCTTGCTACCTAGATTCAACTTGCCTCCCACCCCACTCATTATCTGATTTATGTTCTTCTCCGCACTTATCACTATCACAATCTAATTAATTTATTTAGTAGAAGGGGTCAGGAGTCAGAAACACTTGCTGGTTTTGTTCATTCTAGACTGGCTAGTGTCTAGTACAGAGCCTAGCTCAGTGAGGAGGAAGTAGTCCCTGAATGAATACACAAATAAAATTCAAGAGCACTAGCCTCAGAAAACATATTTCATGTTGCAATATATTTGCACATAAGACATTTCCTAGAATCTGGTGCTGTTGGGCAATTTTTTTTTTTTACTGAGATATAATCCAGGTATAACGGTATAGTGGTAAAATTCAGTCTATTCATGTACAGTTCTGAGTTTGGACAAACATAGAGTCATGTAGCCACCACAAATGTGACATAGGACAGTGATAGCCACTCCACAAACGTCCCCCCTGTCCCCTTACGGTCAGTCCCCACACCTAGCCTGCAGTTCCGGGCAATCACTGGGAATGGCAGGGTAAGTGAGCTGACTCTAACTCACAATGGGGTCACAGTGGGCAGAATTTCTAGTGAGTTGAATGTGGCAGGAGAGAAAAAGAGAAGTTGAAGATTAGGCAGAGTTTGGGATCTTGGAACTGAAGGGAGCCTTTGGCTGAGGTGGGAAAGTGGCCGAGGGCTTCAGCAACCAGGTGGTGGGAGTGGAGGGATCAGAGATCTGTGCTGGGTGCTCTGCACTTGAGCTGTTTGTTGGAAGCCTGCACAGAGAGGGTGAAGTGATGGCAGAAGTCCAGGTAGGCCATGAGGATGGCACTATTGCCACAGAAGGCTCTGAGGAGCATTTCAGCCCGTGGGCAGGGCCTTAATGCACCGGGAGCCTTCGATCCTCTGACATTTGGTACCTGGTGAAGCTCATGGATCCTTCTCAAAAACACATAAAACAAAGGCACAAGAAAGCACAATAATGTTGCAGTTGAAATCTAAATACGAAAAAGTAGCCTGTGATAAAGCTGTAGCATTACCTAGCAGTAGGTTTTATACTGTTCATAATTCCAAAGTTACATGAGAAAAGACCGATATCTGCAGACACTAGGAAGTACTGAATGAAAATATTTGTGATTTCAACTGGCCATGAAGTCACAGGGCCTGTGGGACAGGCTCTGGCTTGTGGTCTAAGCTCATAATTGAATAAAATGTCAATTTTAAATTATACATTAGTGGGAAAAAGGAATTTTGCTCACTTAAATTCATGGACCCACTCAATGCTCTACACAGGCCCTGTGATCCCACAATGAGGGCCTGGGGAGAGAAGGTAGAGAAAGAAGAGGGCCCAGGACTGGGCTATCAAAGCCCCCAGTATGCAGGAGCCTGATAAAGCAGAGGAGTGGCCAGGGACAGGAGGAATTCAGGACAGAGGCCTCTGGAAGCGCTTCTGCTGGCTACACTGCTGGCAGGCCCAGTAGCACAGCATGAGAAGTGTCCCTGAGTGTGGTGTCAAGCAGGGACTTCACAAGGTGGGAACAGTGAAGGGGCTTCCTGGGGCTGGAGAGATGCGAAGAGGAGTAAACACAAGGATTCAACATTGCAGGGCACTTTTCAAATTTTTGTATGTGTGAAATACACCACAAGTATATGTTAACTTGTTAGGGAGTAGGGTGGGCATGGATGTGACAAAAAGTTTGGTGCTACAGGAAGCAGGGAAACTGGAGAGGCAGCTGGCAGGGCTGTGGAATATTTTCAGGTGGGAGCTGGGAGAGTGCATCTGTGCATTGGGAGGGACTTGTAGGGGATGAGGAAGGAGCTGGGATCTGAAGCCCAAAGGCCCAGAGAAGCTCTGTGGCCCTGTAGTCTCCATACCCAGCCTTCTCACACTGGAGCCAGTGTCAGACTGAGCCAGAAGCTGTTGAAGGGCAGACTGCTGGGATGTCTGAGCCCCTGTGTCATAGATCTGGGTGGGCCTGGAAATTTGCATTTCTAACCAGCTCCCAGGTGGTGCTGATCTTGGAATTCACTTGGAAAAACGCCCTGCTCTAACAATCCTAGTGCCACCAGGTGCACCCCTCATGGGTAGACAACGAAATGCAGCTGGCAAAGGTACCCCTGGAAGAGGCATGGGCAGGGGTGCACCTGTGAGACAGAGGAGAGAAAGGAGGCAGCAGCCACAGGCTGGCCCCCAGCTCAGCTCATTACCCCTCCCTGGGGAGCCCTGGTTTTCCCAAGGAACCTGGGAGCCACACTGTGGGATCTCCCTGAAGCCTGAATGAGAGGTTGAGGGAGGGAGCCAGGGACAGGGTTGGGATGGTAGGCTGAGCCAGCTAGAGCAGAAGACAGGGGACTGTGGAGTGAGGACAGAGGGGAGGAGGGAGAGCTCCTCTCTGCCTGCAGGCTCTGAGCCTGAGGACACACTGTTCACCTTCACATCCTGGGCCCTGCTTCTTGGCTCAGGGGAAGGAACAGCCCTGTCAATGAAATGCAGGATGATCCCAGGGCCCTTGGGGACAGACTCCAGCCCTGCTTGGCAGATAGACAAGGCCAGAAGTTAGAAAGCACAGCCTGGCAGATGGGCCTGCAAACTGTACAAGGGAAAGGTAGGTGCCGACCTGCTGGCTGCTCTCCGCTGGGAAGCTGGGGCCAAGGCATGACATGGAGCTTGTGCTCTGGGCCTTGCTTCTCCTCTTTAGCACCAATTCATGGAGCAGATATTTATTAAACATCAACTGTCTACCAAGCCTTGTGCTAGACCCAGAGATAAAGTGGTAAATTTGACATTCTAGAGGACAAAAGAGACAACAGAGAGATAGACATGTAGTACAAATTCAGGGAGTGGTAATTCGAGTGTGGTAGGAGGCCCAGACCAGAAGAGCCTGCTGGGGCAGCGGGGAGGTGTCAGTTTGGCTTTTTCTCTGAGTGAGATAACAAGATGAATGGGTTTGAGCAAAGAGGGCGTGGCTTCATTTAGTTTTAACAGAATCCTTCTGGCTGTGCAGTGGGGGATGGTAGACGTCCAGAGATCAGGAGAAAGTTTTGAGGATAGTCCAGGCCAGGGGTGCCAGTTGCCTGACCTGGCACATTCTGAGCCCCTGGCTGCTCTGTGGCTCCACATGGAGACACTTGGGAGGGACAGAGGCTGCCCTGACCCTGTCCATGACCCAGTCCACTGTCTCTCTGCAGCTGGAGAAGAACATCCAGACCCTCTTCGGGTCGGGGCTGCAGCAGGCCCAGGAAAACATAGTCCAGAGCCACACAACTCCTGTGCTGGAGTTGGACACCAGCCTCCTGAACCAGACCACAAACGAGACTGTCAAACTGACGGACATGGAGTCTCAGGTAATGGGGAATGTGTGGGTGGGTGGCCAGGCTGGTGTCTTGCCTTGACCTCTATCTCTGGCCCCTTCTGGATCATAGGCCCTTGGCACCCCTCCCTGAGGACTCAGTCCCATCCATCACTACTGGGCTGTAGGTCTTGTGGGGCTGGGCTGTCATGGGCCCTGCCTGGCTTCTTGTCCTGTGTGCATGTAGTGTCTGAATCGTACTGGGCACCAGGTACAGACAGACACAGTCCTTCCTCTTGGGGTTTTAGGTGCATGAGAAAGACACGTGGTAAAGGATCTTTTAGACTTCAGGGGCTAAGGACTTCCTGGGCAGTGGTAGAGAGGGAACAAGGGAATAACAGGATGTACATGTGTCCCTACCCCTTGGAGCTTATCGAGGAAGCAAACAGAATGAGTCCCATCTAACTTACATGGCAACTGTGCTTAGAGAAGAGAGCAGGAGGGTGCTGTGCTAAATGTGGTGAGCAGGGTAAGACTGCCAGTGCTCTGCCAGGCCAGGAGGGACCACTGAGGAGCAGCACTGATGGGCAGTGTGTGCAAGACAGAGAGAAGAGTGCCTGCAAAGGCAGGAAGTGGGAGGGTGGGGGCAGATCCAGGAATGTAAGGACAGCATCATGCTGGAGTGACCAGGGGGGAGTAGCAGGTGGGGGCCAGTGACGTAATGCAGAGAGGCAGTCAAGGGCTTGGCGAACCATGGTGAGGACGGGAGGAGCAACAGGGAGATTGTGAGCAGAAAGGACACATTTGGAAAGGCTGCTGAACAGGAAGTTACTGGAGAGGACAAGGGTGGGCCAGAGAGCCCTGTGAGGAGGCCAGTGCAGGACACTGGACAAGAGATGACAGAGGCAGGGGCCATAGAGGGGGCCATGGAGGGAAGAGGTCAGGGACTGTTTGGAGGGGGTAGATGACAGCACTCGCTGATAGAGAGCATGTGGGGTCAAAGATGACCCTCCTGGGGCCTGAGAGCAGGAGGACTGGAGCTGTCATGGGCAGTGATGGGGGAGGACCAACTCAGGCAGCAGATCATGTGCTCAGGCAGGACCTGGGTGTGAGTCAGTGCACGAGTGACCACAGGGAATAAGGACTTGGAGGTGGCTCTTGGTCTGCAAATGTCAGGAGTGACAGGCTTGTCAGTAGGCTGATGGCAGCTGGCAGAGTCCTTGGAATGCACACAGCCTCCACCCCCCTGTTCCTTGATTCAGGTCCTGAGCCAGATGTCACACATGGAGCGCCAGATGCTGGAGACTTCGCTGACTACCGACAAGCTGGAGAAGCAGCTCCAGAAGCAGAGAGGCACACTGGACCTGCTGCACGGCCAGAGCAGGTGTGTGCTGGCACCAGGTCCTGGCAGGAAAGGTCAAGTTTGGGACCCAGGCCCCATCACTTCCCATGACAGCTCCAGTCCTCCTGCTCTCAGGCCCCAGGAGGGTCATCTTTGACCCCACATGCTGAAGCTGTGGCTGCAGCTGGCAGTTGGATCTGGGCCAGTGTGTGGGATGGGACCAGGGCCTGGTTTAGGACTGTGAGGAGGGACAGTTGTTGGGGGCTGGGCCTGAAAATGGACCTTGACCAAGTTTTGTAAGGACTGGCATCAGGCTTGGAGTCCAGGCTTCTGTTCCAACTGCCTGACCACTGTTCTGCCATGAACCCCAGTGATTCCTGTACTCATTCCTGAGAGAAGGGTGGACAATAGTACTGGGCTGGGGCTGAGCTGGGTGCCAGGCAGGCCCAGGGCACATCCCCAGTATTGTGTGGGGGCAGAGAAGGGGCCTGTTCTTGGGGCTCAGACACCTTGTTTCTGTCTTTCTGTTTTTGTTCCTTCTTCCTCTCTTTATTTTATAAACTTTAACTGCTTTATTAAGATATAACTTACATACCATACTGTTCACTCTGTACATTTTAATTGGCCTTAATGATTGGTAAGTAAATAAATTTGGCCCAATCCTCCTATTCTCCTTCCCCGAGGACACCACAATTACCGGTTTTCTAGTATGAAAGTCAGAGTCCCTTCACGATGTCTAAATCTGCATCAGGGAACTTCCTTAAATTACAAAGAAAAAAATAGTCTTGGTGTGCAGATAAGGCAAAGAAGCCTGACCCACAACCCCCAGATTTTATCTTCGTTTTGAGTTGAACAGATCGAGGTTTGAGGGAGCCAAACCTACTCACTAAACAACCTTGTCAATAGGGCAAGATAGTTATTGCATGCATGTGCTTTGTGCACAGCACAGCTATAAGGACTGTCCCCTCCCTCTGAGTTGGGTGCCAGCAGCAGAGGTTCTTATTCTCATTCCCCTACCCCAAGTTCCAGGTGCAAGAACAGCATTTTCAATCACTGAATTGGACAGTTCCTTGGAAACCTGCAGAGAAAGAAGAGGCTGTCAGCAAGCTCTTGATTGGTGAAGACAGCTAGAATTCTAGAATTCCAGCGTGCCCAATTCTTAATTTTAATTTGGTGCCTGGGGCAGGTTCTTCTGCCCTCGCTGGATTTAATTCTTAGTCTAGAGAGTGGGTCTCCAAAACTGGATGGAGGGTAAAACACTCCCTTCCTAGCCCTTCTCAGCCACTGGGGTTCTGGAGCTAGACAATGGCTACCTGTGCCAACTGCCTGACCACTGTCCTCCCATGGACCCCGGTGCATACCACTGTCCTCTCCAGTCCACTGCCTACTGTGGACACAGAATGTGGGACAAGCAGCCCTAATCAGGATGCTCCACCTCTCTGGGCCTCCCTGTCTGGTTATGAATTTGGGACAGGACAACAGGCTCATTCCTGTGCTCCCCACCCTGCAGTAACCTGGAAACTTGGCTGCACACCCTGGAGGATGACCAGACGGTCCAGCTGGAGGCCCTCCACAGTGAGAAGAAGAATTTGCGGCAGCAACTGGACCAACATAGCAGCAGACTTGCACGCATCCAGCAGGGCCTGGAAGCTCTGCGTAGTAACTCCAGCCTCCTGCAGCAGCAGCAACACCAGCTGCTGCAGAGCCTGCAGATCCTCAAACGCATGGTGGAACAGAACCCAGGTGAGCTCAGGGCTTCTGAGGCAGGAAGCTGGAGAGGAGGGGGGAGGCAGGAAGGAGCCCTGCTCAGCCTCCAGGGTCACTCAGGGCTTGGACTCATCCTGGGAAAGGCCACACCCTTCAGGCCATCTGGACAACAGAAATATCAACGACCAGTAATAAAAATGGCCACAGAAATGGTCGTAAGAGAAGCCAATCCACACTGCCTTCTGACTCCACGGGTCTGCCCTACCCCACCTCTAACCTCGGTTTCCCCATCTGTTCAATGGTGTTAAAAAGGTTAGCAGCAGCCTAGCTGACAACTTTACCCTTCAGCCTTGCTTGCTTGCACTTGCGCTACCAATCCTTGGGCCTCAGTTTCCCCATAGAAACTGAGTCCACCAGACTGAATCCACCTCCAAGAACTTGTCTCCCATTAATGTTCTACCTCAAAGCCCAAGAAAACAACAGGGAAGGCAGGCAGCCTCCCAGCCCGGCTTGAGAAGGAAGTGCAGTGCCCTGCCTGCTCCCCAGCACTCACTGCTCCCACTGTGGCCCACTTGGGGGCCAAGGCTTCCTGATTCCAGCTTCACTCATCAACAAATGTTGCTCCCCTCATTGAGTGCCAGGCCCAGAGCTGGGTGCAAGGATCCAGCAGTGCACACAGGCTGGCCTGGCTCTTGCAAATGTACCCAACTCCTCTGCAGGCCTCAGAGGAAGGGAGGAAACACTTCTTCGTTGAGTGCCAGCTGAGCGTAGTTTCCATGCCCAGTATTCATGAAGCTCCACAGCAGAGCTGGCCTAGGGACTGTGCTGAGGAGAGGGGACTTTCACCTGAGCCCAGAGAATGTTGTGGATGGGACAGTGAGGGCCTCCTTTTAGGGAGTAGAGAATGGCTGGATAAGATGGAGGCCGGAGAGGGGCTCCTACTGCTATTGCTTGGTCATGGGAACCTAGGGAGCCTTCAAGGACAAGGAATCCAGCAATAGTGATGGGACCCCAGACACCATGCTGATAGGGTCTTGGGGCAGAGGACCTCACCGTGGCTCCATCCTAAATCCAGCAGGCCCAAGGCAGGAGAGCTGGGTGCCTTCCAACCCACAAGATATGGAGTGACCAGGCGTGGAGGGACCTGTGCATGACAGTGGGACCACAGAATAAGCCCCTTGTATGGGATCTATGGCTGAGCCCAAGCACAGGGTGGGGGCCCTCTCTCCCCACAGGCTCAGAACAAAAGCAGTCTTCAGTGTGCCCAACTGCTCAATAGCATGTGTGGCAGCACTTTGCCATGGGCACCCTTTGCACAAACACCCTCCACTCTTACCCAGAGATGATTGGAAGGTGCTTTTGCCCTCTCTGGAGACCCTGAGTTTCTGTAGGGTGGGTTGGCAGGAAGAGACACTGGTATTTTGCATGAATTTCAGTCCTAGTTCTGTCATTTGCTAGCCCTGGGACATTGCATACTCCTTTAATCTCTTAGTTCTCCTCCCTTGTGAAATGGGGATGATAATCTCACAGAGCTCTCGCATGGAGGATGAGCTGAAGTCATGGACAGGGAGGGGCTCGGTAAGGTGTGGTTGACTGGGGCCAGAAGTGGGTGAGATGAGTACAGATTCTGAGCCCAGAGACTCGGAGGGAAGGTAGGCTTGGGTCACACTGCTGTATATCCTAACAGTACACCATGTCTTTAGGTCCCACTCCCTTCCCAGTCTTTTTCACAAACGCAAATAGGCAACCAAAATCCCCGAGTACAACAGTGGTGGTTATTTCACTTTTATTATTACTGTTATCATTATTGTTTTTGCTATTGTTGTTGACTAAGGAAGTTTGCAGTGCATAGAGCGATGGATAGTTGGAATTCTCAAACCCACTGCCAGCTCAGCTCTTGCCCTGATGTGGGAAGCATGGCCTGTCTTTTCTCCTTTCTAGGCCAGCCCCTTCCTCCAGTTCCAATGGGCCATCTGGAGCTGGGGGCTGCTGACAGATGGGCAGTGGAGACCACTGTGTGGGAAATGTTATGCACAGGCTAGGACTGACATAGGTCCTAGTCCTGTCGTTGGTGGTATGGGTACAGCAGTCCCCTTCTGACAGGTGCTCCAGATGCAAAATCTGGGAGCCAGAGTTCAGGTTAAGGCACAAACAGGAAGTCCTGCCTCCTGGTAGTCTCCTGGTTCCTCCTTGGTATTTACATCTATCCATCTGGATCTTTAGCCCCATCTTTGGTTATCTGCCTACCTGGACTTTGGCTTTTGGTGGAATGACAGCTCAAATCTCTAATTGATCCTGCTAAATGATCTAAAGGGAGGATTTCAAATCCGTGCATTTATTCTTCAACAATAACTTTTCCCAGAGGTCCATGGGAATTGGTAGTTTCTAAGTCAATATATGTCAGAGATCTGAAATATGCTCTAGGGGAGGAGACATGGGCCTCTGAAGACCCATGGCTACCCCCGGAGGAAGGCAGATCGAGGTCGTTGTGCCCAGGGCTGCAGCCCGGAGGGGAGTCCAGGGCCTCACACCCAAGTAAGCCCCAAGAAGAGGGGACTGTGTCCCATCTGGCTGGGAGCCCACAAACTGGGCGCTCAGCCTCCTGATCTCACTTGCTCCACCTTAGCCTCACCTGCTGGAGTGAGCGTTCCCTTTACGGTCTCCGAAGAGCCTAGCTCCTCTTCTCTGCCTTCCCTGCTTTGAGCCTTCGGTCTCTCAGTCTCACTCCGGCCGTGGTGTTCTTCCTGGGCACAGCAGTCTGGGTTCCACAGCCTGGCACTCAGAGTCAGCTGGCCCCGCTGAAACAGCATCCCCTCTGCTCTTTTGCTTCCTCTCTTTCTGCCAGCCTGGCACCACCTCAAGCGGCTAGAGTGCTCTCTGCAAAGGCTCAACACTCATGGTGTGGGCAGCCATACCCCTCATGCCCTTGTGCCCCTCTCACACCAGACCACCCACTTTGCAGCCTTCACCGTGCTGTTACTTCTGCCCAGAACATCGCCCCTTCTTCTGCAGGGAACTCCTGCTCCCTGCTCAGGTCCAGGCTCTCTGTCACTTCCTCTAGGAAACCTTGCCCTGTCTGGCTCATCTCCCCATCCCTGCACCTCTCCACCCCGGACCTGCACTCGCTCTCCCCTCTCCTTAGTCACCTCCAGCTGACTTTTGTTTTGTTACCTTGCCGCCTCTGCAGGTACAGCTGTGCAGGTGTTCCAGGACTGTGAGGACATCCGAAAGTTTGGGCTCAATAAGGATGGCGTCTACATCATCTTAGTGCCCAGTCTGAACCAGACCAAGAGGGTGAGGGGGGTCCTGGCATGGGGAGATGTGAGTCTATCAGTGGGTGCTGAACGGAGACCTTTTCGGACAAATCTTCTTCAGCACTGAATTGTCCAACAACTGAGATTCCAGTAAAGTGGGGTTGCCCTGCTTTGTGGAGCCCTTGTGTAGGCAGAGGTGAGACCTTGGAGCAATGCCCAGAAGATCCCAAAATAGAAATGCTGCCCTCCAGAGAGTACTGTCATTGGGGTAGCAGGAAATAGCTCTGTGTGGATGAAGGTCATGCTCTCCGGTAAAACAATCAAGCTCTGCAATTCCAGGAGCTCAGCCCAAAGGGGTTTATTTCCAACTGAGGGCAGAAATTGAGGCTCTACTCCATGCAGGACATTAGTGACTGGGGTCCACGGAGATGCCACCGTCTTCAGTGAGCGGCTCCTGAGGTGGTTTTGGGCTCACAGGTCCAGTCGTGAGGAAGGAAGGGGTTGGAGGAGAGTGTGGGTGTCATGTAGGGCTTGAGGCCGCCAGAGGGGAAGGAAAAGGGAACAGCTTTCCAGAGGCCCTGCTTCAAAATTCCCTCTGCACTTTCCTTTGGACCTCTGAATGTGTCGCAGAGAGGTACCGTTTGTCCCCAGAATGACTTTCACACTTCCCACACATCTGCTAAATGGCTCTTTAGCCAAGAGATCAGCTAAGGGCCCCGTGTTGGCAAAAATGCCTATGTAGAATTTCACAATATTTTGTTTCATTATATTTATTTTTGCAATCATGTGAATAAATGCAAGTGTTAGTATTTTTCTACTTATGGTACTAATGAGATTTCTTTGTGAGAAACTTCACCAGTTTTCAAAGAAAATATGCTTTGGAAAGATTAGGGAGATGTAGCTATGGTGGAATTTGGGGATGTGTGAATAGCTGAGATGTGGGGGACACTCGTGGAGAGGCACAAGCTGGCCAAGGGGGAAGTGATCTGGGTTCAACCCTCAGCTTTACTTTGCAGCAAGCTTTTCTCCTCTGAGCCTCCTGCACACCCTGCCACCCCCACAGCAGGTGTCCTGCTTCTCTCCCACCGCCCAACTTTCTACCTCAGAGCCCCTGCTCCTTGCTGCTGCACTCTCCCCAGAAAATATCATTCCGCTCCTCTCTCTCAGCAGACACACCGTCATTCAATGCCCTGTTCACAAACCACCATCTCCAGGAAATTTTTCAGGATTGCCAATCACTGCTTCTTGGGGCTCCTCCTTGTAGCTGTCCAAATGTTCACATTCAGTTGTCTGCCTGTCCTATCATAGCCTCTTTCAGACCAAGCCAGCCTGAAGCCTGATTTGTCTCTGATTTATCAATGATTCATCCAGCACAGGGCCAGCACCAAGTCTTCATTCATGGAATATTGAACTTGCACCAAACTGATAGAAAAATCAGAGTGTGAACATAGCTTGAATTATGTTGCTGTGATAGATGCTTTTCTTGACAGAAAAGATTCTTTTCGTCTCACCCTGTGAGCATCCCCAGTGCTTTGAACAGAGCCTCACACGCAGTAGGTGCTCAGCAAACCACTGTGCCCTGAAGGACAGCAGTAATAGCATTTCCTGCTCCTACACCGTGGCTAAGCCCTTTGTGCCCATCCCTTTTAATCCTCCCAGCAGCCCTGCAATAGTAAGGAGTGGGAAGCCTTCATTCACCTCTCTCCTGGTGTGTGCTGGGCTCTCTTCTAAGTATTCACATGATCCATCTCATTTAAGTCTCACTGTAAAGCCAGTTTGCAGAAGGGAAACTGAGGCACAAGGAGGTTAAGGTACGAATGCCCCTATTTTACAACTGAGAAGAAAGTGGGTGTGGGAGACCATCACTGTCCTGTCATCTTAGGAAATGATGATGATGAATGTAACATTGGAGCCTGGATCTTTCTGATGCCCTTGACCACCTTTTGCTCTTTGGGGAGTGGGGGGTCCATCGGCCAAGTCACCCTTGTGCTGCCCTGGACCTGGCTTCTGGCTGTGTCCAGGGATTCCAGCTGCTCCCTCTTCCCCCAGGTGTTCTGTGTGATGGACCCTGAGGGAGGCGCCTGGACCGTCATCCAGCGCCGTGAGGATGGCTCAGTGGATTTCCAGAGGAACTGGGAGGAATACAAGCAGGTGACACGGCTGCCCTGGGGAGGGGCTCTGCAGCTCTGAAACCTGGTGCAGGTGCTCAGGTGTTGGTGGGGGAGAGAAGGGTGTTTGCCCTCACAGCTTCCCTGGAAAAATTAATTAGCCCACCTAAGCCACCTACCCTCAAACTGATCTGCCCAGCTTCCACTCACTTCCCAGGACGCCACCCCATAAAGTTTAGCCTCTTCTTGAAATTTCTTTTTTTTTTTTCAGCTTTAATTGAGTTTATTGGTACATTTTAGGGATACAGTACATTTACATTCATTGTTGGGATCTTGTACCTCTACATGACAAGTCTTGGTTCTCATTTCTTCCCCTTGTCCCTGCCCTCCTTTCACCCCCTCCTCCCCTCCCCATCTACAACCACTTTGTTTCCACCTTTTCATTATCTCACATTTTTTTCTTTTCCCTTTTTACCCTTCCCCTACCCATCCCACCTTCCCTACACCTTTAGCTCCTTTCTTCCCATTTCTAAATGTCAGTAATCTTATTAGGATCTTCTGTATTATTGTAGATTATTCACACCAGAGAAACTATTCGGTATTTACACATGTGTGACTTATTTATTTCACTTAGGAGTATATCTTCAATATGTATCCATTTTCCTATGAATGAATCTATTTTCTCATTTTTTATGGCTGAGTAATATTCCATTTTATAGAAAAACTACATTTTCTTTATCCAGTTTCCAACGGATGGGCAAATAGGCTGTTTCCAAGTTTTAGCTATTACAAACTGTGCCGTTATAAACATGGGTGCGCATACTTCTCTGTGATATGATTCTTTTAGTTCTTTTGGAAAGATAACCAGCAGAGGGATGGCTGGGTCAAATGGAACCTCCAGTCCAAGCTCTTTGAGGTATCTCCATATTGATTTCCATAGTGGTTGCACCAGTCTGCACTCCCACCAACAACGAAGAAGGATTCCTTTCTCCCCACAACCCCGCTGACATTTGTTATTGTGTGATTTCTTGATAGCAGCCATTCTTTGTGGGGTGAGGTGGAATCTCAGTGTTGTTTTCATCTGTATCTCTCGAATGACCAGTGATGTGGAACATTTTTTCATATATTTACTTGCTGCTTTTCTTGAAATTTCTGACATATGTCCTAGGAATGAAATTTTAGGTTTTCTTTCAAGTTTTGGAAAGGATATACATTTCTTAATTTGAAAAAAAAAATACAAAGGAGGCAACTGCAGGAAATATTAGTCACCCACACCTGGCTACACTTTTTTTTTTTGGTATCAGGGCTCGAACTTGGGTCCTTGCACTTGCAAGGCTGGTGCCGGAAATTTTGATTAAGTGAATTTCTTTCTCCTTTTGATACATCTGTAACCACCTGATCAGCAGAACAAATTCTGTAATGTGGAATTGCTTGTTCAAAGACCACATGCTCTTTACAAGATGAGACTTACTTTGGGATTGCCTTCCAATTTTCTTAAGTTAAAATTTGAGCAAGGAATTTAGGGAATGTTAAATACTCTTGAACTTTGCAAAAGCAAAAGAAACAGGAACGATATCCATAAGGAAAGATAGCAATATTAGCATTTGTGTCTGCTTGCTGTTACTTTTGATAAACACATATACAATAAATACAAATATCAAATTAAATTGTAGGTGTTCTTGAACCAGTTGAGGTTTAAAAAAATCATTAAAATGGCAAAGAGAAAGCGAGAGCTCAGACACAGAAAAACACAAAAGAAAGCTGGATGTTAACCTTTAGCTAGTAGCCGCACCTCATCCCACCAGTGGGGAGCGGGCTTTGGTGTGTCCTGTCCTTGGTACTGAGCCATCGTTCTGCCAATTGCTGTGGTTTCCTTAATTTGTGCACTGATGACAAGACATTCTACGTGCTCTTAAGTTTTTGTACATTTTTATGTTGCGGAAATTTTGCACTTCCTGCCCCATCCTGTACAAAGCCTGCTCTACCATTTATGTAGCAGATTAAAATCTTTATGATGAGATTTAACAGACACGCAGTTAAGTGCACATGTTCGAAGTATAAAGCTCAATGAATTTCACATGTGTGCTCACCCTGTGACCCACTCAGGGCAGACATACAAACCTTACAGCACCCCAGAAGGTCCCTTCTCCTTCCTCCAAATCCCCCCCCCACAAAATAGACTCTTTTCATTTAGATCTCCCCTGATTAGTTTTGTCTGTTCCTGAAATTTGGAGCAATGTGATTTCAGTCATATTTAATGTACTTTTACACTTAAAAAGTATGGAAGGTGGTGATCTCCTTCCCCCAGCCTGCTCACAGTAATCATTAGACCCAGCACTTTAAGATGTCTGGCCCCAGAGCCTGGTCCAGCACTCTTGCTCAACCAGAGTCCTGGCCTCCTTCCTTAGCAAGCAGCCCACCCCATCCTCCTCCTACCCCTAGGGCTTCGGCAACCCAGCGGGGGAACACTGGCTGGGCAATGAGTTGGTGCACCAGCTCACCAGCAGGGCAAAGTACTCTCTGCGCGTGGAGATGGAAGACTGGGACGGCCACACATTCTACGCCAGCTTTGAGCATTTCCAACTGGGCAGCGAGAAGCAGTCTTACAGGTTGGTCCCATACCCAGGAGGTGAGTGGGCTGGGCTCCAAGGGCAGGGCCTGTAGATCGGCCCCAATGGGCACTTCTAAGCCTTTCCTCTTTCTACCACCTGTCCTTTACTTAGGCCCATGTCACAAGATCTGGACGTGGCTGGTTAGAACTCAGCATGTTCTGAATGCTGAGTGGGACGGAGAGAATGGGGCGGGGTCCTTCCAAGGGCGATCCCTCCAGGTCAGCCATTTACTGAGACCTGGAAGGGGGAAGTGTCTTGTCCGGAATGCTCTGTGTCCTGAGGTGAGGAGAAAAGGTCCCCAGGTTGGAAGGCAGGAGAACTGGACCTTTTTGGGAACTTTGGTAGGTCTCACTTGGGCAAATCAATTTCAGGTTGCTCTGAAGCTCTGTGCTTCAAAAGCAGAGTGTGTTTGGATATGAGGATACTGCAAAATCTTTACCTCACCCGACTGCTTCTTCAGTCTGGGTTCTTGGTATGTTTAGGAAAAGTAGTGAGCATTTATTTAGCATCTATTTTCCCAGCACTCCATTTAGTCCTCTGCACAACACTCTGAGGTGGGCATTACTTTGCCTACTTTAATAAAAGCTGAGGAATGAGGGTGAGGCACCCAGGTAGAGATATACAAATGATATATTTGAAGACAGAGATATCACATTTCTGCCTCACAGCTTAAGTCTGCATTACTTTAAATTTGGAAGCTCTCGTGTGTGAATTGTATGGGCTCTCTGGCTTCATCTGAGCCCCACAGAGCTCTGTATCTCCAGGCCTGCTATTCCCAGGCCTCAAAGGGCTCTCATTTATCCGTCCTTCTGCAGAGCCCTAAGTAGCAGGATATTGGACACTTGCCCTGGGCCTTCATGTGGTGGACTGGTCATCTGGGGAGGAGTCAGACCTGGAAACCACTCTTTCAGAGTTGCTCCCATTCTGGTGTGGGGGTGGCTTAGGATGGTGGTAAGGTGCTCCTTACCATTGTGGGGAGAGTGGCTGCCAGGTGGAAGGCATGGAAACCTGGAGATGCTGTACACTCGGAGGGCTCCTGGAAAGAGGTGATGGCTGTCATGAGTAGACTCTGCTCATACAGAGAGCAGATAGGAAGGGCACCCCAGGGAGTGGGCATATTCTGAAAAAGTCAGAGGTGCCTCCAGCTGGACCACCCCTATCCCAAGCCTGAAGCAGAGTCTTGCAAGGTTGGTTGGGATCATAAAGAGTTGTGTGGTCATCCAGGAAAAGACTGGGAGACTGGAATCCTGGAAGCTCTGGAGTATGAGCCATGGAGAGAAGGACAAGAGACACTGTACCCAGAGACCCATCCTCCAGGGTCAAGTGTCTCCTTGGGCAGGTAGGTCCCAGAGGGAAGTCCAGGGTAAAGGTACACAGTGAGTAGGTGGGGAGTGGGCATCCAAATGTGAGGGACGCCCTTGTTTGTTGGACACAGTAATGGGAACCCCAGCACGGGTGCTTGCAGAGCCTGCAGAGGAAGTGGCACCCAAGAGCCACAGATGAGGCACAGGCACATCTGCTTACCAGAGGTGCACACACACCCAGAACTGAACACAAGTACAGACAGCACACGGAGATGCTCAGGTAGCTGCACAACCAACTTGTACTGTGGAAGGGCTCCCACACCCCTGGGTGTGCACAGGTCACACACACACACACACATACACGACACACATGTGCATAGCTATACAAATGGGCACACTCTGAGCACAGGCACACGTGTAAATGTACCTCCCAAAAGCTCTCCCAGAGAAACAAAGGCCCAGATCCTAGGGCAGATCCTGGAGGGCACACTTGTCCACACTGGCTCTTCCAGTGCAAACTCAACACCCACACACATGTCTACACGTGGCCACGGGGAACTGTATCCAGGTGTCAAACAAGAAACTCGCAGGCTCTGTGTGAACACATGGGTGACATACCCAACTGGCTTGCACTGCTGCTGCGGACACAGCCCTCACCTGCAGTCTTCCAGCCAGGCTTGTCTGTATGCCAGGGCCCAAGGAACAGCAAATCCTAAGTGTGCCTAGAACTCACTAACCTGCATACTCTACACACCTGTGTAACCAAACCACACAACGAACAAGGCCATCGTCAATATTACTGTGGTTGCCATGTTCACATGTGGAGAGACTGAGGCTCAGGGAGGTGAGGCAGCCTTCCCAAGGCCATGCAGCCGCCAAGTGGCAGAGCTGGGGTTTGGATCCAGGTTAATGGCCGTCAGCACCAGGCAGCCTTGGCTGTGCCTGCCAGGACCGAAGAGCTTGGCCAAGGAATGTAACTCCCCCTTCACCACCTGCCCACTGATGTGCAAGTCACAGGGCTGGGGTTTTCCGGATGTAGCTCTCTGTGGGCTGCTGTGCTCACAGAGGGCTTCCTGGAAGAGACAAGTGGACATGAGGAGCTGTGAAGGGACCAGGGTGTAGGATGGTGGGTGGCTGAGGAAATGAATGTGGGCCCCCAATTAGGCCACACAGCCAGAATCTGATCCTGACCCTCCTTGGTCCTGAGACCTTGTGCAGGTTCTTGCGCTCTTAGGATCCCATCTCCTCCTGTGGAAAGGGTATCATGAGACTTAGATAAGAATGAGTCAACCACTGCAAAGGGCTTTGGACAATGCCTGTCCCCTGGTAGAGGTTCCAAAACTGTCAGCTTTTGCCCTTGTTATGGTCATTGTGACTCTTCTGCAAGATGTAGTTAATGAGATGAGGAGGGCTCAGCACACAGTAGGTGCTTTGTTCCTGAGAGCCCGCTGGGGAGGATGATCCTGAGGAAAATAGACCAGGAACCACACCCAGGCTGAGGCTCCCCTCCAAACTCCACAGCAGGGAGACCCAGCCTGGGCAAAGCCTCCAAGGCTTGAGGCCCTTCCCCAACACGGCCCCAGCCTGACTCTGCTCACTCCTATCTCCATCTCTTGGCGTCCTCCAGGATTTTTCTGGACAAGGAAAATGGCATGTCATCTCCCCGGGGTCACCTGATCATAGGGAACAACACCTTCAGCACCCAAGATGCAGACCATGACAACTGTGCCTGCAATTGTGCGGCGATAATGTCTGGAGGTGAGTAAGGGTCAGAGGTACCTTCCCCACCAGTCCCTTAAGGTCCTCTAGAGGATACCCCTTCTCCTAACCCAGAGGTCAAGGTGTGGCAGGGGGCAGCTCCCCACCAACTCTGGCTCAGGCAGAAGTCAGAGAGTGGGAGATGGGATGAGTCAGAGACAGAGCAGGGAGGACAGAGACAGGAACAGATGGGGGCAGAGAGAGACAGAGGCTGACAGAAATGAGAGCAGTGGAGACAGAGCCGCACTGGGACAGGGGAGGCAGAGGGAGAGCTGGAGAGGAAGTGCAGCCCTCAGCACAGCCAGGGGAGGACTGAGGGCGTGGGAGCAGTGACCTGGGCAGAGACAGAGACCAAGACATCCACAGGGAATGATGATTTCAGCCAGAAATCGGCACACCGTGAGATGCTCACATGGAGACTACCAAGAGGGAGAGCCTCACAGAGATAGAGACAGAGGCCACCAGATACCCAGGGAGGTGACACAGAACTGTGAGGGAGCCAGGAGGTTGGAAGGTCAGTGAGGGAGGGACACAGGATGCAGAGGATTCCATTCTGGAGAAATGAAAGAATGTGCACAGTGGCTGAAGGGGTGACCAGAGCCCACACTGCCCTCTAGAGGCTCTGCCTGAGTAGAAGGTCTGTTGCCCTCCTCCTCCTCTCCAGCCAGCTGGTGCCCAGGAGGCAACAGCCTTGATTGGTCCACGTCCTCCTCTTCCACAGGGTGGTGGTTTGATGCCTGCGGCACCTCCAACCTCAATGGCATCTACCACCCAGCCGGTCAGCACAAGTTCAAGATCAATGGCATCCGCTGGGACCGCTCCTCCCCTCACTCTGCCTTCTCACTCCGCACCTCTCGCATGATGATGCGGCCCTTGCAAAGCTAGTGAGCACTGTGCAGAGGCCAGTCTAGGTTGTCTACAGACAATAAGGCCAGTAATAGCATCTGCACCATGCAGGTCCCTGAAGGTCAAGAGGAATATGCATGTGACCCCCCCTCAGAAGACACTGGGTGCTCAGTGAATATGGATCGTGCTCGTGCACCATGGGAGATGGACTTTTCTAGAGATAAAACATTCCAGTCTAATGTCACATGCGGCCCTGACTCTATGGATGCTCTCACCTGACCTCACTTGTCAAACAAGGTTATTCAGAGGAGAGCCCAGATTCCAAATACAGAGTGGTCTTAAGTGGTGTGTGGCTATGGTGCTGTGACTTCATCCCTCTAGGAAAGTGGACCTCAAAGGATGGCAGTGAGGATGGATGATGTAATGCGTGCATGTGTGCGTGTGTGTGGGTGTGGGTACTGCAAATGTATAAGTGATGTGACGGCTGTTTTGGGGTAAATCGTGAGTCATGCCCTATGTGTGCAGCAGGCTGGAAACACCCAGGAGGATGCACACATTTGGGACATGTTCAGGACCTGCTCTGCCATCCTCCTCTGCCCACCCTGCCCCTTGCCCAGACTTTGGAGAAAATCAGGACCCTTTATCTGTCAGCACCAGTCTGGACCAACACTCTCTTGTCATATGTTGATTTGATTTGACTTTCCTACCTTTATTTTTAAAACTGTTACAAATCGCTGATTCCTCTTATTTTGCTCTTACATATCCATTTCACTTATTTTAAATTTTAATTTCATTTAAAGATTTAAATGTTATTTTTAATATTTTAATTTTTGTTAATTTAGAGATAACTTATTTAAAGGTACTTTAGAAATACATTTTTAATTTTCTATCTATATTTTTATTTTTATATTTTTTCATTTGCTTAGTTTGTTTTTAAATGCTTTTCTATTTTAGAATAACTGGTTAATTTTAATTTTTTTTCCCCTGGTACCAGGGATCAAACTTTGGACCTTGAGCTTGTGAGGCAGGTGTGGCACCACTGAGCTAAATCCCCAGTCCTCTGGCTAATTTTAAAAATGTATAGTTTTTAATTGAAATCATTTAAAGATTTTTAAAAATTTACCTTTATTTTAATTTTGCTCACATTTTGTTGGATTACCTGAGTGCTGTCAATTTATAGGGCTTCCTTGCCAATACAGTGCTTGTGGCATTGAAAATATCTTTCTTCAGGATGATGCCATCCACAAGCTTTGTGTCTTTGGAGAATAACAATCATTACACATGACATTGTTGATGAGCTCAAGCCCACTGGATTTCCTTGGGGAAAAGGATTGTTCTCACTTACAGTCTCAGATCGATCCTATTGAAAGTCCTTACAAAAGCTGGATGTGGTGGTAAACACACCTGTAATCCCAGCACTTTGGGAGGCTGAGGCAGGAGGATAGAAAATTCCAGACAAGTCTTAGCAACTTATCAAGTTAGTGAGACCCAGTCTCAAGGTAAAAAATCATTTTAAGATGCTGGGGATGCATTTCAGTGCAAAGGTCCTGGGTTCAATCCCCAGTCCACACACACAAATTCCTTATAAGAGGCCTGGTTGGCAAAGGCCCCCCCAACCTGTGAGGGAGTCTTTCCCAGGCCTTCCTAGAGGCAACACTTGAAGTTGCAGACACAGGTGACACATCTGCCCCTCTGCTTCCTGCTGTCTGTACACTCTGCTGAACCACTGCCCCAGTGCAGCTGAGCTTGTCCTGCAGCCTCTGTTGGAGGCAGAGGCCTCAGGGCAGTGAGTTCTAGAACAGCTAGAAGCTGGGGGCTCCCTACTGAGACACATGACCTTGGCTTGAGCGAAGTCCTCCCAAGGGTCTCAGGCATCCCCAGCTAGGGCTCAGGTTCCCTGCTTCCCTCAGCAGAGGCTCCCCGGGGACACTTTCTGCAGCTGTGGATCATTTCATTCTCCTGCATGCACAACCCCATCACAAAACACGCACTGAGGACATTGGTGTGCAAAGCAGAGCGTCTGGAAGGTCTGGGGACTGCTGCCCAGGGCTCAGCCCCAGTTGCCTCCGCTTGCTCTCCTGCTTCACGTGACTGCTGTGACTTCCTGCCCTGGCTGCCCTTGCAGATCATTTGGGGTCCATCCCAGGGGTCCTTGGGCCCTGAGCCAGGTACGGCTTTAAGCAGCAGCTGTGAACTTGTGAAGGCCACCGGGCCGGTGTCAGAAGGGAGAGGCACAGACCACCAGGCGGGCTCGGGTGCAGCAGTAGGAGCTGAGACCCTGGTTTGTATCCCACGTGGATCCTTGCTGTGCAGACTTGGGCCAACACCCTCACTTCTCTGAGCCTCAGTTTCCTCAAAATTACCTGAGATAATAAACGTATAAGAGAAAAGTTGTGCTTGGCTCACGGTTCTACGCGTTACGCATCCTAATTGCATGGACCCAGTGCTCTGTGCCTCTAATGTGGGTGCTGGATGGCAACAGCAGGGAGCCCTTGGCCAAGTAAAACTGCTCACCTCATGGTCAGGAAGCAAAAGGAGAAGAGGATCAGGGTCTCAGTGCCCTTCAGGGTGCAGCCCAGTGACCTAGGCACCTCCACTAGGCCCCACCTCCTCAGGGTTCCGCCTCCCAGTGGGGACCAAGCCTTTGACAGGCAGGCACCCAGGGACACCTACCCAGACAGCATCCCTAGTGTGGAGAAAAGGGATGGGACTAAGACAGCTGTCACTCACTTCCCTGGTGCTGCTGTGACCTCCCAAACTCCCGGGCATTGGCAAACTCAGGCCTATCACCTGGAATAGAAGAAGAGGGGCTGGGGTCCACATGTTTCTGTGCCTCCCTCTGCGCCCTTCAGGCTTGGGGTGCCCTCAGATTCCTGACCCTTTGGGGTGGAAATCTGCAGCTTAATTCCCTCCAGTGTCCCTTAGCCCCACTCAGTACTCCCTGGGCTGGGACAGGAGATTGGCCAACAGGTGGCAGTGCAGGCTGCCCTGGGACTGACCCCGCCCCTTCAGGGAGGTTCAAGGATTTCCTCAGTCTCAGCAGACGGGGCAGAGAACAAGTGTTGTCAATCAGAGAAGGATGTGTCCCTTGCCCTGTCCTCCCGGTCCTGTCTGGACTCTGGACCGTCCTGGCAAGTGAGCTGGAGAATTGCCTGTCCTGTCCCTGCCCCTGCTGGCCAATCTTCCATAACTGAGCATCAGACCAGGGCTCACAGGTGGCGGCAGAGGGAAGGGAATGGAGGGGGCAAAGGGAGCTGAGTCCTCTCTCCGTAAATCCAGGAGAGGTGATTCTAGGTTTTAGCTTCACGAGGTAACTGCCTTTAGAGCACGGTTTGAGGAAGGTGAGGACTCAGGGACTTTGATTCCATCCTTAGGCACAAGTGTGGCCTTGAAATCACTCCTTCAGGTTCTGATGAACATGTAGTCTCTGAGGTCTGTACTCTGGTGATGAGGAGAGGCCAGTGGGATGGGCACCTCTGGCTCTGCAGCCTCAGGAGCTAACAAGCCAGGAGCCACACCCAGGACCACCCGAGCTGGAGGTGGTGCAATTTGCCTCCAGGGCGGAATGTGCAGGGCTACTCTGTGTCTATGTGTGGCGGCTACTGCCTCACACGTATAATAGATTGGGCAAGAAGACAGGTGTCTACATGTTGTTTTTTCCCGTGGTCATCAGTGAGATTTGTCTCCTCTGCCAGGAAGAGATTGCAGGATGTGCTGCCCAGGGCTCTGTGTGGGGCCCTCAAGTGAGGTTCTTGGGACAGAGCAGGGACCAGAGCAGGGCCTAGCCCACCTCAGGCTCCTTGCCTTGAGGAAGAGGACAGTGGTGTCTTCCTGTCGTGCCCCCCCATCCTTCTCACCCCAGGAAGTCCCTAGATCAGCTGTGTGAAGTCCTCAGGTTACCATGACCTGCGACATTCCCAAGTGAGCAGTTTTCTCTGGGCACACCACAGTTATGGAGAAACCTGATCCCCAAAACTGTGAGCATCAAAATGAACAGCTCTGCACTGATTGTCAGTGGAATCCCAGAGTCACAGGCATCAATGGAGACCGGGCAGTGGTGAGAGTAAGAGTGACAGTGATGTCGCTGAGACCCCTTAACTCAGCTGTGCCCAGCTCCTCACAAGCTGCCTGAGGCTGGCCAGTAGGATTCCTGTCTTACAGATGGGATATGGAGGCACAGAGGCATCAAGGCACTGGTTCAGGGTCACACAGGCAAGGGTAAGGGGCACAGCTTGGATGTAAACCCAGGAAGTCTGGCTTTTCACTGTGTTCCCCAGCAGGGGTTCTCAAAGTGTGGGCCCAGGAGCAGTAGCAGGAACAGCTCCTGGGGACCCATTAGCACTGTGGATTCCCAGGCCCATCGAGACCCACTGAGCCAGCAACTCTGAACCAATCTGCTACACAAGCCCTCCATGTGACTCTGGCGCAAACTCAAAGTGGAGCATTGCTGCTCCCCTGGGCACAGGAGCACCTGTTGTTGTCCCAGCTGCTCAGGAGAGTGAGACAGGAAGACCGCGTTAGCACATGTGTGGGGTCAGCATGAGCCACGTAGCTAGATTCCTTTTTAGAAAATGAAAATAAAAACTCCTTCATATTAGATTGTGTCCTGTTATGAGTGAAGTGGGTGAGGGCTGGAGCCCAAGCATGGTGATAGACAGCAGCTGACCTTTGCCCTCAGTTTCAGGGGTAGCGGGAGTAGTAGGGAAGTGGGAGGGTCTGTGGCAAACCGGAGAGCACCAGCTCCGATTGTGCAACTGCAGCCACTTACTGCCCTGTGAGGAGGCAGGCCCAGCACCAGTAGACATTCTGGATTTTGCCAGAAAAGTCTGACTTTCAGCTTTTCCATGTGAAATCTCTTAATTTTATAAGTTGTCAGTCTTTGAAAAAAAGAAAAAACTGGTTGGCCTGGGTACTGAGGATGCTTCAGTGACAGGCTCACTGGGCTGCCAAGGAGATGGACCTGTCTGGGAGAAGGAAATCTTTGAACGTGATGAGGCCACTTGCAAACCTTGTGTTATTGACCTCTGTTAGTAAAAAGTGTACAAGGTGTAGAGGACCATCCTCAGGATGTGAGTGACCCTGAGAATGTAAGTGACCCTGAGGCTGAACATTTCTCTGAAAAGCACAAGTCACTTTTTAATCCCCAACAGAAACATGCCCTTCACCCAAGGCCAAAGCCGCCTGCTCATGCCTCTGCCAGGGCTGCTCACCCTGCAGCAGGGGAGCGGCCACATCCCTGCCTCAGCTGTCCACAGTCCCTGTGTGTATCAGGACAGTGAGAGGGCAGGAAGGGATCTTAGGTGTATGAGGAGCAGGCACTGTGTGCCGGGCACTTGCTGGTTTGTCTGCTCCCTCTCTTAACAAGGCCAGCAGGGATGGGAGTTGCTGCCAGTTGTTCAGATGGGGAAACTGAGGCTCTCAGAGATGAACAGACTGGACCAAGTTCACTCAGTGAGCAGTGGAGTCAGGATTTCCACCTGGGTACCTGGACCGTAACCCATGTCCTTGGATTTCTTAGATCCTTAAGGGCAGAAATAATGACATAGTGACATGAGCTGCAGCTTATCAGATGTCCGCGGTGTGCTGGGTTCTGCACTTGCCTGCATGATCTCCTTTAATCACCACAACCTTGCAATGCAAGCATTATTATCCCCCATTTGTAGCTAGAAAAACTGAGGCTCAGAGCTGTAAAGTTCCTTGCCCACGCACACACAGTGCATCCCCCTAACGTGCATACAATGAGCTCACACTGGATCCGACACATAGTAGGGGCTCAGTACTTGATAAATGCACAGGTGAATGGCTACGTGGATGGGACCTCCAGCCCTGGACTGATGCACATATTCAGAGCTGTCACCGCCAGCATCACTTTGTCATCTTTGTCTTTCCCCATGAAACAGACATCCCGCTCTCAGCTCCTCCTGCCCGTGCACACTGGGGGGAAAGGAGGGTGACTCAGATGTCATTCAGGCCTTTCAGCTGGGGAAGGGTGGTCTTGATTACAGGAGAGTTTTGCTAAGGGTTACATGAGTTGCCACCCAATCTGATATCCCAAGGAAACTCAGGAGGCTGCATTTAGAGCTCAAATGCTTTTATTTAGAAACATGCAGAGGAGGTGGGAGAGGTAGCACTGAAAGCCAGGATACACCAGAAAGACAAAAGACCTAGGGGGTTTTGAAAGTGTGCTCCCTGGAACCCCAGGGCTCCTTTGGGCACGATGGAGTCAGGGTGTGTAACTGGTGCCCTAGGTGCCTCTACCCTGCAGCGACAGAGCCACTTCACCAGGATGTTTCCTAAGCGGCACCCACTTGTAATTTGACAGGAGAGAATCAAACTCAAGTGGCAGAGTGACTTTTTGAAGCTGTGGGGCAACTCAAGCTTTAGGAGGGCCTGGAAGGCATCATCAGCTTTGGAGTCCATGAGATTTCTAGTTGCTGCTTCTCTCCCTGCATCTGATTTGAGAACCTCTCTCTCTCTCTCCCTCTGTCTCTCTCATCCTCTCTTCCTCTCTCCCACCCTCTCCCTCTCTCCCTCTCCCTGCCCCATCTCTCATTCTGAATTAGTCCAAAGTCATTTGATTGCAATTGGCAGAAAACCTAACTCAGAAAGGCCTGAGAAGAGAGCAGTGATGGGTGCCCAGGGTGACCCAGGTGCATAGATGGCTCCTTCTGGAACCCCTAAAATGGCACCAACCAGCTCTGGTCTACATCCCCGTAGATCTGAAGAGTGGACAAGAACATGCACGCGTCACACACACACACACACACACACACACACACACCCACGGCCCACATATGTATGTACGCTTGCCTACCAACAAGCAAAAATCCCAAGACCAGCTCCTGCTAAGACACATGCCTCTTTTGAACCAAGGTCCACAGCATCTGATTCTCTGACTGCCCGAGCCTGGTTAAGGTGTGTCAGTGCAGATCGCTCCCCAGGAACCCCAGAGCAAAGCAGTGAGGCAGGATGCAACTCTGCCAGCAGAACAAGGGGCTGTGGCTGCTCCTGCCTCCTTGTGACTTTTGACTCTTATTTGGGGAAGGCATGTGCCCTGAATGGCCCACCCTCCCCACCCTCAAATGTCTTTATGTCAGGAGGCCAGCCCAGACCTTTGTCTACTGTCAGTGTCTCAAGAGAGGTGGGCTAATTGCCCCCCCAAGGCGAGTCACTGGGCAGGAACAGGGTCACACAATGCAGGTGTGGTTGCTCACACAAGTTCTCAGGGAAAGGAGACTGCGAGCAGGGAAAGCACTTCCCACAGGCCTGTTGCATTTGTTTTAGACTTCTGAAAATGCACCTTCCCGGGTCCAAAGCTTCTCTTTGATACTGATGAACAGTCAAGCTTAAGCACCATCAAGTTTGAATCTTTTTAGAGTAGTGCTATGCAAACTGTAGGTGCCACAGTTATTCACAAAGTGAGCATTTGAGTCTCTACTCCTGTGACCTTGGGGTGTCACTGCTCTTCTCTAATGAGTTAGAGATAGGATGAGAGGTCAGACACGGATTATGAGAATTCAGTCAAAAGTGGCAGTTGAAGGCACCCTAGCCACCTGCCTTGGAAGAAAGCAGGAGCTGAGGGACAGAGAGAGAATGGATAAGGCCACTGCTCATCAACATCAGGGTTGAAAGATGTTATTTAAGACCATCCTGCAGTATCCACACAGACACTCTCCCAGCCCTGGGTGGTTCCTCCCATGTGAGTCACGAGTCATCATTCCACACAACTCATGCAGGAGCTCTGCAGTTCCTTTGCAGTCTGTGGCCATCATCTCGGGAAGGATCCAGTTCTTCCACCTTCAAGGTCCCCAGGGAAACTGCCTGGATACTGCTGAGTGGTTCTTCAGCTCTTCCTGCCAGGGCAAGACTGTTGCTTAGTCCTGGTCTCGGAGCCCTGGTCCCATCCGTCCACGTTACCACTTCCATGGCCCTCAGTGCCCTCATCAGCTGTGAGTTGCTTGATGCCGAGGCCCTATGTGGCTCACACTATGGTCCAGGCTCTGCCTGAAAGAGGTTCCCAACGAATTCTGTAGGAGGGCAGCCCGGAGCAGACACTGTTACTGCCCTCCCCGCCTTGAGACAGCAGGCACATCATTTTGCCTCCTTGAATCCTGGTGTCCTCAGGAACAAAATGGCACCCTGGCCAGGGTAGGATGTTGCAGTCCACAAAGTCAGCCTGCAGGAAACACCACTTTGGTTTGAAGTACTATTGTGATGGGTGGCAGGGATCACCTCCAGTTATGTGAGTGTCTCCTGGCCCTCCGGGGATAGGGTTGCACCTTGGCTCCAGGGAACTTACACAGTGAAAGGCACAAGTGAGGGCACCCAGGTTTCCACTAACATCACTATGCCCACCTGTTGCTTGAGAACTGGGAAGTATCAATTATTATGGAGATTCTAAACAAGATGCTCATATTTTCCTCCTGCTCTCATAGAATTTCTGCAGTTGGCACTCCTGGGTTGATGTGGCTATAGTGATATCTTCTTATAAGAGCTCTCAGGCACCCGAACCAGGCATCATTCCAACTAGGAAGCCTCCAATCCCTCTGAGAGGACAGAACAGGTGGCATTTTGTGGGTGTGGCCAAGGACACACCTACTCACATGTCACTGAACAGCTGGTGAACACATGACCACACATAGCTGCAGAGGAACCTGGGAAATGCAGTCTTTATTCTGGGACAATGTGAATTTCTAGAAATGAGTTCTAAGACCACAGGGAGAATGCACCTGAGAGAGGACTAGCTCTGTCCAGGTTGTGGGTTTCCACTGCTCTCAGAAACCCCTTTTGTGTCTCCAGAATGTGTCACTTTCCCCAGCCCACAACCTCAGCTCAGGGAGGAGCCTGGGGGAGGAATGGAAAGAAATCAGTTCTCTCCTCCCCTATAGCGTCATACAGGCTTATTTTTTTCTTCAAATGTATTTTTATTGTGGACTAGAGGCTAGCCTGGCCTGCACAGTAAGACCCTATCTCAAAACAACTCAATGATTAAACAAACAGACCATATTTTAAACAACCCATAGGTCAAAGAAGAAATTACAAAGAAAAGTAGAAAACATTTTAAGAGAATGAAGATGATAATATAGAATTCCCCAAATTTAAGGCAAACAAAGCTGTACTTAGTGGCAAATTTGTAGCTGTGAATACCTGATTGAAAATGAATAAAGTTCTCAAGTCAACGACCTCACTTATTCAGGAATGCCAACAACAAGGTCAAATGAAACCCAAAGTGATGGGAGGGAAGGAAATAATAAATGTTAGAGATAAACAAAATAGAGTGAACAAGCACCAGAGAAAAACCAATGAATCCAATGCTTGGTTGGCTGAAAGAACAACAGAATTGACAAACCAATTTTTAGACTAGGAAAAAAGAGGTGATTCAAATTCCTAATGTCAGAAGCCCAAGCTAGGACATCACTACTGGTCTCACAGTAATGAGGTGGATTTAAGGAAATACCAGGAACATATTAAATACCAGAAAACTGGATAACCTAGATGACGTGGATGGATTCCTAGCAGCAGACAATCCATGGACACTGACTTATGATGAAATAGAAACCAAACAAAGCTGTAGCCAGAGAGGTGATTGAATCCATAATCAGATACTTTGCAGATAAAATACCCCAGGAGAGGCAGCTTTACTCACCGAGGCTGCTGAGCATTTAAAGAATTAGCACCTCTGCTTCGGCTCCGTGGGGAAGCCCAACCTGTTGCCACCCACACATCCGACTGCTGCTGCTGACACCTCGCTCTGCTCCAAGAGGCCAGCGTTCTCCTGAGGCCAGAAGAGCTTCTTTCCGTGGGCCCAGGGGCAATGTCCAGGACTTGGACTCTGGAAACCACACGGTGTCACTTCTGCCACCTGCTACTGGTCAGAGCAAGACCATGGTTCCGTCCAGCTCAAGTCGGTGGAAAAGCTGACTCCACCTGGATAGAAGGAGCTACGGTCCAGGCGGGAGGTATCCATGGGGGTGGGGAGAGGCGTGGTGGTTCGCGACTGCGAATGATGTTTGCACTTGACCAGGTCCTGAAGCTGCCCTGTCCTAGAAGCTGGGGGAAGGCTTCTGTTGGAGGAGTTAGCCGGAGGATCGCACTTATTGCCTAAAGGCCAGAAGCTCCTGGAAAACCTTCAGGGCTGCTGTGTGAGCATTATCTCCAGTCCACTAGTGCGTGGATGAAAGCTGCTAATTCCTGGAGAGCACTGAGAGCAGACCCTGGCTGGCAGGAAGCACATGGATGTCAGCTGTTACGATCCTTAGACTCCTCCGTGGCCGGGGATCGTCATTCTCCCTATTTCACAGATGCACTCAGGACTCAGAGACGCCCAGTGAGTTGCCGAGGGCTCTGTGGCAAGAAACAGGGATCCGGATTAGAACTCACCCTTATGAGACCCAGATCCTCCTGTGAATGCGCAGGGGCGGACGTGACAGTGTCTTTTGCCCTCCGGCCAGCAGGAGTTTAAACCCTGACAACGCAGATGTCCCTCAGCCCGGCCACTCAATGAGCTCCTGCAGCTCACCTGGCCACGGAGGGTTGTGTGCTGGTTGCAAGAAATGAGGCTGCCCCATGCATGGGGCTGGACACATCTCTAAGGCTTTCTGCTCAATAGAAGACCATATGAAAAAGAAGGCCCACAATCCGCAGGAAACACAGCCACAGATTAAAAAAAACCTGAGTCTGGAGCATGAATGTGACCCCTGGAAGTTCACTCGGAGCAAGTGTGAGTGAATGAAACAATAGGATCTATTTATAGCACCCTTCCCTTTTTAGACCTTATTTTTGCTGAATTTTGAAATAACACATAAACAGAGAAAAATTCAAAGTACAGCAATGTCAAGATTAAAAAAAAAAAAAAATCTAGGCATGATGATCCACACCTATAATCCTTAGCAGTCTGGGAGGCTGAGCTAGGAGGATTGCAAATTTGAGCCCAGTCTAAACAATTTAGTGATTGAGACACTGTCTCAAAATAAAACATAAAACAGGCTAGGGATGTAGATTAGTGTGAAGCCCTGGGCTCAACCCCCAGTGCTGTAAAACAAACTATTCTGATAATTTCCCCCTCATATCCTGTGGAACAAACCAGGCTAACATTTTGTATACATGTTTCCAGTTTACATGCTGGGTGACTGAGTGTACGTGAGTGTATTTATACAGCATGTAGATTATTCTCAACCTGTGACTTACTTTTCGTGTTCTAAAATAGCTGCTCTTGATCCAGCCATTACATCTGTATTCCTGCCAGCAGGAAGGGGGAAATGAAATGACAACTGAAGGGCTTCCCCTTCCTTTTAAGTATACAGAAATTGCACGTTATTTTGACCTTAACCCATTTGTCTGATTGTGGTTGTTACATCTGGTGTGTCTGAGGTCTAGGGTACTCAGGCTCACTCTTGCTGTGCCTGTTTCTCTCTCTGATGTAGGAGAAGGAGTCAAAGAAAGTGCAAAGGGGAATTATTTGTATTGCGGGTATCGTAGGAATAGGCATAGAGCCACTCTGGGGAAGGAGTGCGGGGTGCTCAAAGCTGGGGCCCTGGGCCTGTGTCCATAGGGAATCCTGTCTCCGCCCCCTTGAGTATTGGCATTTGATTGACTGAATACTGGGCTTGTTGCTAGGGTTTGGTTTGTGGGCTAACAGAGGCATTTTCAAGAGCAATTCATTTTGGGGAAGCTACCTACCTGAAGGAAAATTTAAGGTAGGCAGTAGTTTGTACAGACACAAATGTGAAACCACAGGCTGTCAGCTCAATTGTTCGCTGTGACACAAAGACCATGTTTTTTGTACTCCTCTAATTAACCCCACCTAAGGGTGCCAGGTGTCATACACAGTCACGTGGCCATTTCTAGCCACAGGAAGCCAGGAAATGTGGTCTTTACTCAGGGCCACCTAGGCACAGTCAGGGAGGGGCTCTAAGACTAAGAAACAGGAGACTGGGTGTGGCTGTGCTCCATTCTCTCAGCAATGCCGCCTTTCCCCCGCTGCAGGGACAGCCTTCTTAAATTCTGGCCCCGCAGGACGTGTGGTCAGGTGGGACGGCCCCTTCCTCCCCGTGTAGCGCAGGCCCAGCCTTCAGCCAGTGTTTCCAGGTGAAGGGAGAAGTCCCTGCAACCCCAGGACAGCGGGGGCCGGGCTGCTTTCTGGGATCGCCTCTCTGTGACGTCACCAGAAGAGACCGGAAACCCTTGGGTGGAGCCGGTGCCTCTTCCTGAAACCCTGGCTCCAGTCGGGAAATCACACCTGCATCTGTGCTCTGCATTTAGCTTCGCTTCCCTTCCCCAGGAGTGTGTGTGGATGCCTGCGCCAGCATGCGAGGGAGGAGAGGTGGCAGAGTGTGGGCAGCGGGCTTTCACCTTTTCAAGGCCAAGTCAGAAGATGATAAGCCAGGGGCGGAGCATTCATCTTCTGGCAACTCCATTTCCAAACAGGGGTTGGCCTTGGGTCAAGGTCTTCTTGACCAATTCACGTGACTTGAGATCATGTCTCTGGCGCAGGAAGACTATGTGAGAGGCAGAGCCTAGGTGGCTTGGGCCCGAGGTTTGGTTCTGTCGCTCCCTGGCTGTGTGACCACAGGCAAGATACTTAGCCTCTCTGTGCCCCAGTTTCTTTATTCACCACATTGGACTGGTAATAGCAGGAAGCATTTCCTGGGGCTTCTCGTGAGAATTAAATAGGGAAGCCTGGGGTGGAGGTCAAGGCGTGCAAAAGCTGGTGGCTACAGAATGGCCTTGTGTCCTGGCATAGGGCCACCAGGAAGGGCTCAAGGAGAAGCTCTTTATATTTTAAAGTTTTTTATTATTTTATTTTGAAAACATTTGGAAGGCCCTTAAAGGCATAGAGTTGTTGAATTTTCTTTGTTGGTGTAGTGGTTGTTTTTGTCAAACAATGCCTCACTATGTTGCCTAGGCTGGCCTTAATTCCTGGGTTCAAGTGATCCTCCCGCCTCAGCCTCCCAAATAGGTGGGGCTACAGGTGAATGCCACTGCACCTGGTTTATAGCCATGGACTGCGTGTGCTGAGGTGTACTCAGTGGGGCTGGGCAGGCATGAGGTACCTGGTCATCCAGTGCTGACCACCCCAAGGAGACAGGCCAGCCATAGTTCTCTCAGATCTGGCCTCAGGGGGCCTGGCCTGAGGAGAGGTTTCCCACTTCCCGGCCCTGCCCTGGTCCAAGACCTATGTGAACCTTGGTCCTGGATACTTAGGCCAGCAGCTTCTTCGGGACAGCCCTGGGCTGTCCCAACTAGAGTAGGCTGTGTATCCCAGCTTTCCTGGGGGTCTCTGGCTGGATCTTCCCTCACTTGGACCTTTGTCCTACTGCCATGCTGTGCTGTTGGGTCCCTGGCTTCTGTGGCTGTCATGGTGCCCGTGAGTGGGCTTTCTGAGCATGGGACTGTTGGAACTCAGGAGGAAACACCCAGGCCTCATGTTTCCACTGCTGCTGCCACAAGTGACCCCAGACAACACCTACAGATCAATGCCAATGTAGCCTGGTGTGGTGTAGTCTACTTATAGTTCCTGCTACACCGGAAGTGAGGCAGGAGGATTGCTTGAGCCCAGCACAGGAGCTAGAGACCACCCTGGGCAACACAGCAAGACTCCAACTCAAACAAAGCAAAGCAAAGTAAAGCAAGCAAACAAAAATAAAGCAAATTTACTGTTTCAAGTTCTGTAGGGTAGAAAACAGACCTAGGTTTCAGGGCTAAATTTGAACATCTGGAGAGTTGAAGACTCCGCTTTCTGGCTCACTCAGTTGCAGGACAGGATCCCGGTTTCTGCTGGCCACACTAGGCCACTGGCAAGGTCATCAGAGCCAACTTAGTGGCTTAGTGAGGCTATGTCTCAAAACAAAAAATAAAAAGGGCTAGGATGTAGCTCAGTGTGAAGGCCTGGGGCTCAATTGCCAAGTACAAGGGGAAGGAAAAAAACCCTCCCTCATCTCTGCAGAGCCCTTCCTGTGGCAACACATACTGTGCACACAGTTCCAGGAATTAGGGCGTGTACGTCCTCATTGACCCTGCTGGGGTGAGGCGCTGTGCCAGGGTGGGGTGGGAGGTGCCATCTCTGGCCCAGTGCCCCAAGCGAAGGTCCAGGTGGCTCCGTGACATTTGGCCAAAGCATCAGGAGGTCTAAGGCAGGGGCATCCCCGGGCCTCCAGAGAGGTCTGCTGTGCGAGACACAGGGTCAGCTCCGGCGAGGAAGGAGAGGGCAGGGCTACCTGGGTGTGGCTCCAGATTCCTGAGCAGGGGCTGGGCTTGCCCAACCTAAGACACCCGGGACCAGACTGACCGGGTCAAGCTCCCCAGGGACTGTGGGTCAGTGGTCAACACCTGGCTTGCAAGTTGGCTCTGAAAGCCACCACCTCCCCAGTCTACCACTTAGGCATAATGGCAGCAGCAACTGTCTCCTGGGATCACACTAAGGGGCATCAAGTGGCTGGGCTATAAACCAAGCAGTCAGCCTCCCTGGTGCTCCTGGGGATGCAGTAAGGGGACCCCACACAACTCCCCCCTCAGATCCTCCCAGTCCCACGTGCTAGCCTGGAAGTGAGGGAGGACTATCTGCTCCAGGGGTCAAGAGCCTCCTGGGAGACATGCCAGGAGTCCCAAAAGCAGGACAAAGTGCATATTCCAGTCTGTGCTGCATGCCTCCTGCTGACCCCAGTCAGCCCTGCCAGGCTGTCTCTGCCCTGGGTGGCATTGGTTTCTCCCTTGGGTGTCACAGTGGTTTCTGAGTCTGTTTTCATCTCTCTCCTTTCCTCTCTGTCTTTCCAATACTAAGGATTGAACCCAGGGCTGCCTTATCACTGAAGTACATTCCCTGCGCTTTAAAAAAATTTTGAGACAGGGTCTTCTTGCTGAGTTGCTAACTAGTCCTTGTCCTCTTCCTGCCTCAGCCTCCCAGAGTACAGGTGTGCCTAGCTTTCAGTGGTTCCTTTAAATGTTACTCCTAAACTAACCCAGGCCCCTCCCATCCTACTCCTATTCTAGGCCCCTGGGCCTGGGCCTCCAGCACCACCTCCAGCTTCCCTGCCCCTGCTGCAGGGTGTGAGCCACCCCAGCCAGAGGCACCACCTTCTTCTCCTCCCTATCAGAAAGGCTAGCTTTGGGGCACATCCTCCAGAATGCCCCTCCGCACTGACCAAAGGCCAGTCTAGAATCTTGATCTCACTTTTTAATTTTTTTTTAGATTGGATCTTGCTATGTTGTCCAGGTTGCTCTCAATCTCCTGGGCTCAAGCAATCCTACTGCCCCAGCCTCCTAGTTTGGTAGTAGAATTGCTGGCACATCCCACCTGGATGCTGCCATCCTCCACGGCCTGGGCTGGGTTGGTCTGTCACTCCATGGCCTGTGGGACATCCTGCATCTCCAGTGAGCTTGGAAATGACTTGAGCTGGGGGCAGAGGTGGGCAGTGTGGCTTGGGGCATGGAGGGTCTGTGAGGACATTTTCACAAGGCCGGCAGCTTTGTAATGACATTTGGTGAGTGCTTTGAGCCTGCATGTGTGGTGCTGAGCACTTAGTACACAGCAGCTCAGCTACTCCACTAAGGGTCTGGGGAGGGAGGTGACTTCACACCCCACACACGAGGAGCCTGGCTGGAGTGTACGACTCACAGGCTCATGCTCCTGGGGACAGTGTGTGTGCGCGTGTGTGTGCATATGCATGTGCGTGTTTATGCACATGCACACTCGTGTGCATGTGCTTGTGTGCACGTGCTCATGTGTGTGTGTGTGTGTGTGTGTGTATGCATGCGCGTGTGTGGAGAGAGATCTTGGAACATCTTCCCATAGCAAAACAGAGACATTGTCTTCTCCATCGTTGCCCACTCAATACCGTTTCTGGGAGGGATCAGAAAAAACCCAAACGTTTGCACTGAGCTACATCCCCAGCCCTTCTCTATTTTTTATTTTGAGACAGGGAGTAACTAAGTTGATGAGGCATCCCATAGCAAAACAGAGACATTGTCTTCTCCATCGTTGCCCACTCAATACCGTTTCTGGGAGGGATCAGAAAAAACCCAAACGTTTGCACTGAGCTACATCCCCAGCCCTTCTCTATTTTTTATTTTGAGACAGGGAGTAACTAAGTTGATGAGGCTTGACTCACACTTGTGATCCTCTCACCTCAGCCTCCCAGAGTGTGGGACTACAGGTGTGTCCCACCATGCCTGGCTAAGACCAAAATGCAAATAAAAAATTAATTCTCCATAGAGTGATAAAGGGAAACCTTTCTCTTCATCTTCTTAAGTGCGCCCTCTGTCCCTTTAGATGTGTGTTCTGCTAGAAAGCTTGCCCGTCTGACAACCCAGATGCTTCGCTCAGGGCCCCGGCAGCCGTCACTGCAATGCAGACACGAAGGAGGCGACACCTGCCCCAGTCCGAAGTGGGCAGGAGGTTCACCAGGTTGCGAGATGCCCAGCCTATTGTAAAGATACCAGCTGATACTTCCTGTGGGTAAAGACAATCAGCTGACACAGACTCCAATCACCAAGTGAGTTCAGAATGAACTGTGTGACCCTGGTGCTCTCATCACTTTATGTGAGGACTGGTTATTGGGGAACATGTATGTGGCAGGTTGCCTGGCAGTATAAAGTTTGGGGGGATTTTTGCCTTTGCAGTCTCTTCAGTGGACAATCAGTGATGTGCACTGTAGTCTAGTTTAATGCTTATTTGTAGAAAAACTATTCCCTTTCTCCCCTGCTTTTGTTAGGTCATTCGGATTAGCAGGAGGTCTAACTCTTAATTTTCTTCCCAGTGCCTTCAAATAGATGAATGAACTTGGCACTTCCGATGGAAAACTACGTACATGGCCAGGTCAAAGAACAGGAATGTTCCCTCCATTTTCAATGAATGAAAAGCACCAAGTGAGCAATAGCTTACTACTGTTTCTGTGAAAGGAGACACAAGAAGGCTGTATTTGCATTTGCTTTATATTTGCACACTGTGGAAGTGTGAAAGAGGACTAAGGAAAGTGCTGGGCATGCTCGAGAGCACTGGGGAAGATACCAATTTATACTTTCTGATTTCTGAAAGGTGTGGCACCTTTAGCCACCCAGACGAACAGGGACTGCGTGGTGGCTGAGGCAAGCAGCCAAAACAAATCAGGCAGGGAAGAAGTCAGGGGCCAGCCGGCTGGGCCTTGACTGGACACCGATTATCTTGATACATTATTTTGGCTCACGCTGAACTCTTGAAAGGCAGATATGAGTGTAAAAGCAATCAATGTCTTTATTTTGTTTTTAAGCAAAACAAAATAACAATCACATTTCCCTCCTGGGGCTGAGAACTGCTTCCAAGCCTGCAGTCAGCCTGGTGGGGCTCATTGTCAGAGGCGGGGGTACATGGTCCTTAACCTCTGCCGAACCCCACCACGGGCTCTGTGACCTTGGCCACCCCCTCTCCTGTCCGGGTCCTGGCTTCCAGGAGTCAGCGATGGGGCCGGCCTAGGCAGAGCAATCCAGGCTGCAGAAGTCGGCGGACACGAATAGCCTCAGCACGTTGACCAGCGGGAACATGAGCAGCGCCCCGATCAGCGAGCCCAGCTGCACCGCCGCCCCGCACCACACGAGGGCGCTGCGGCTCTGGTCTCGCAGGATCACGCCCAGCATGACCTTGATGTAGCTGAGACAGGCAGTGAACAGCACCCACGAGATCACCTGCGGGGAAGGGCAAGGACAGATGAGGAGGGAAGAGGGCCTGTGAGGTGTGCCTCGCTGGAAGGGTAGCCTCACAGGGCTGAGGGGACCCATGGAATAACCTTCGAGTGCAAAGAGACCCGAGGGGGCCCCACAAGGTGACCCATCGAGGGCAAAGGTGAACCCAAAGGTTTCCCCTTGGGATCAAGCCAGGGCACGAAAAAGAGAAGGCCACCGCTGGGTGCACATGGCCAGGGGACAGCCCCCCTCTTCAGTGAGAAGCGCCCCTCCCCTCTGGTCTTCTCGAAGGGGCAGCACCATAGGTGGGATACTCACAATGAGGACTTCTCCCCCCAGGTGGCCCTGCAGGAGGGGGCAGGGGCTCATCACAGCCATGGCCATGTTGTAGGCCCCAAAGCCGGTCCCCAGCACGGTGATGACCCCCAGGAACGGCAGAGACCTACAGCAGAGTGGAGGAGGTGAGCAGCCTGACCACAGTCCCCTCCATCCAGGGGACCTTGGCCAGCAACTCTAAGGTTAGAGGTTAGATCCATCTTTTTCCCAAGCTCAAGTGGACCGGGGAGGCTCCCAAGGCCAAGACATCTGCTCCTTAGTGTTAATGGCAGGGCCCGGAGTGACAGCAGAGGAAAAGGCAGAGTGTACCACAGGGACCTAGTGTAAATCTTTGTTCCGCCACTTAACTGGGACCTCAGTGTCCCCACTGCAGAATGAGGGACTGGCAGGCCCATGAGGACCTGCAGGAGAGTGTGTGCAGGGCTGGCTATAGCCACTGGCCTCACCTGGCATTTGATCTGGGGCCATTTCCTCCCGCAGCAACCCCAGCCACAGCCAGGAAGCTAGGGGTGGATGAAAAGGTGGTTTTGATCTCAGCAGGAAAATGGTGGCCAAGCTGTGTGACCTTTGATGACCCCTCCCTTTCTGGTCTCAGCTGAGGTGTCTTGCTGCATGGCTTAAGGCAACCTTCCATTAGACCCCAGTCTGACACCCGAGGACACTGCCCTTTCCTTTGTAGTCCTTGTCTCTCGGGTCTACCATCGGGAGCCTCCAGGACATCCAGACTGTGAGAAGCCATGGTCTGCCCCTCCAAGATTCTTGGATTCCCCTGCTCTCAGATGTCTGCAGGGGTATTCAGATTCTGCAGGTCTGTGGCCTCTCATCCTGCCTCCCCTCAAAACTGCTACCTTCTCTCTGTGGCTTTGATGCCCCAAGAGAGGAAATCCAGCTTCTGGGCCAATGGACATCTTCTGTCTAACTCTCCTGCCCTCAGTCTCTTCCTGGGGTGGGCAAGTCTAAGCAGCTCTTGAGCGAAGGCAGGACAGACAGTGGCCCAGAGGATGGGAACCTAAAATGTGAAGTTCCTGAGGTGAATATTCCCCGAGGGGTCAGAAGTCCATGAGTCAGAACCACCTGGGTCGCTAATTAGAGACAGAAGCCCTGCTATGGTCCAGGCTGGCTCAAGCTGCATGGTGTCTGCGAGTGCCCAGGCGATCTAGAACCACAGCTCCAAGGGGCAAAGAGGGCAGGGACCTTTCTCCTAGCCCTGGGGCCTCTGATTATCAGCCTCAGGAGCTGTCTGCCCCTCCTCACCTGCTGGAGGTGGTGGCCGACACTCGAATTGGGCCCATGGTAATGCTGGTATTGCTCAGCACCTTCCAAATCAACCCATCTCAGGCTTCCAGCAATCTGGTACCATCCCTAGTTTCAAGGTAAAAATCCTTGAGGCCTAGAGAGGTTTCTCCAGAAGTGATTTATCCAATACTACAGAGTTGGTAAAAAGCAGAGCTTGGAAACTACATTGCTTTAGGCAGGCAGTACTGGGGATTGAATCCAAGGCCCTCACGCTGAGCTACTTCCCCAGCCCATTTTTTCTTAATTTGAGACAGGGTCTAAGTTGCTAAATTGCCTAGCTGGGCTTGAATTTACAATCCTCCTGCTACAGTCTTTTAGGTACTTTTCTCATTGCTGGGACGAAATACCCCAGATCCACAAGTTAAGGAAGGAAAGGTGTATTTAGCTGATAGTTTATAGAGCCAATTCATGGCAAGCAGAAGACAAGCAAGGGAGAAGATGAGCCTCTTTCTGTCCCTTATATTGTGTCAAGGCTACTGGGATTAGGACGGTACCAAACCAATCAGTGAACTGATTTAGTAATCACACCTCTAGTCCCAGCATCACATACTCTAAAAAATCCCCACCCATTACTGTATAGGGCTTAGGGGGGAACAAGTGGACCCAAACCATTACAGCCTCTCTGAGTACTGGGATTATAGGTGTGCCCCACCACACTAGGTTTGAAAAGCACTGTAATTAGCCCGGTGGTGGGGCTTGGAAAGTAGGATTCTGGCATGAAGCACTCCCCCTGCCAGGGCTCCCCAGGGCCAGGCAGAGTTACCTGCTAGGCAGGAATATGGAGAGGAAGCAGGCCAATGGGCTGGCCACGGAGCTGAGGGTGGCAGACAGGTGGTAGGTGATGGGCCCATAGGACAGGCAGGAGTAGGTCTGCACAGAGGGCAGCACACCGTTGGTGAGTGCATTCACGAAGGCCACCAATGTGTAGATGAAAGCCAGCTGCACAGGGCGCAGGGTGGCTGCTTTCTCCTCCAGGTGCCCCTTGCCCTTGTTGTTCTCTGCCGGGTCCAGGGGGCCTGCGTCTCTCTCCTGTTGTGGCCTGATGGAGTGGAGGGTGACCTGGGACTGGAGAAGATCCTCAATGGAACCTTGCTGGGCCCTGGACTGACGCTGGAGCAGGAAAAAGGCAAGCAGGCAGAAGCCCATCATGCCAGCCAGCAGCAGGAAGAAGACCAGAGGTGAAAAGCGTGCGGGGAGGTAGCGGCTCTCCAGGTGGCTGGCAGGGGTCCACACCGTGGGGCGGCCGGGTCCCTGGGGTTGTCAGAGGACAGACATGTCAGTGGGAACAGCGATGATGGATAATATACCCAAGGACTGTCCTTAGTAAATCACCCATACATAACAGATTCCGAAGCAAAACCCCCCGAAGGATTTGAGATGAGTCCGTCCTCGTGGAGTCTCATTCATGGGTCTGTCTGCCCTCACTTGGGTGGAGCTCCAGCTGCACCATCCCAAAATGTGTAAGACAAGAATTTGTCACCCCCAAAATGGACCAAATTGGCATTGACTATTTTGAGCTGCTTAGAGGCAGAGGAGGAGCTCAGGAAAGATGCTCACATTAGAGGGAAATGAGCTCTCCAGAGGAAATTCTCTTAGTAAAGCCATCTGTACCCGGAGGAGACAGATGACAACCTTGGTCGTCTCTGCACAGCAGGACAGTTTATTGACCATCTGTGTCAGGGTCGTCCTCTCACCTCCTCTCGCCCGTGCCCCCCCCAGAGGCCCCATGTCCCTGTTCCTTCCTGTGGCTCAGGATGCCATGGAAACTCCTGTCCTCTGGCCCCTCTCGGGGTCTTCTGTGCTCATACGTCCCTGAAATGGCCTCTCTGTGGTCCACCTGCCTCGGGTCACTTTAACCTGAAGCCCCAGTGAAGACCCACTGGGGTGGAAGGAGGCAGACTTTTCTCCCCTACTCTCTGACCCAGTCTAGAGTGGCACTGTTTTCCATTAAGGTACCTGTGTCTCACTGGTGGTCACGGGGCTTGAGGTGGCATCCACTGAGTCTGTGACATTGACACAGGTGGTGATACCTGAGCCCTGGGCCAGAGCTACCAGGGCAGGCAGGAGGCCGCTGAAGCCTTCACCCACGAAATAAGTGGTGAGGTAGTAGGAGGGCAGCCGGCTCATGAAGGGCAGGAAGGTGACGGAGGAGGTACAGTCCACCAGCGCCAGGAAGAAGGTGAGGATGATGAAGGCAACGCTGTGGTGGCCATTCAGCACCCTGGAGGTCATGTTCCAGAGGAAGGCGAAGAGGATGCAGGCGATGATGCCCACGGTCAGGATGATGAAGATGATGGGGACCTCTGAGAGGCAGCCAGGCCGGAAGCGATGCAGGAGGGTGACCAGCAGGGGCCCGATGTTGGCCAGCTGGATGACCACCGTGAGGTAGGAGGGCAGGTACCAGCCCTCGGGCAGCTCTGTCACCAGCAGGGGCAGCTCCACCCACAGCCCGTTGATGGCCACCCAGGAGCCCATCCCGAAGACACAGACCAGCAGGTGGACCAGCAAGGCCATGGCGGGGCTGCTGTCTCCTCAGGTCAGCCTGGGGTGGGGTGGAAAAGAACACCAGGTCAGATGTGCAAGGTCCTCACCAACAGAGGGCTGCACTGTGGGCCCAGTTCTCCTTTCTTTTTTGTCCTCTCTCTTATTATGTGAATAAGCTGACTTTAATTAGCAGAAAACAGACAAATTCCCTTATAACTAACTTGCAAGTGAGAAGGTTTTCCTAAGTTCATAAATCTAGGGGCCAGAAAATAGAATTCTGACATAATACCATCAATGTAAAAATTCACAGAAGCAAATAATCAAAAATTCGAAACACTCTCTGCCAAAAATACCAACAGCAGTTGGGCACAGTGGCACCACCTGTAATCCCAGCTACATGGGAAGCTTAGGCAGGAAGACTGCAAGTTTGTGGCCAGCCTGAACACAGGGAGCTCTTGTCTCAAAAACTAACAAGCAAGCAAACAAACAAACAGCAAGGTCAAAAGACAGATGGCAGCCTGGCAAAATACTCCCAACACAGAACACAGACAGAAGTTCGTCTTTCTAATATACAAGGGTTTTTACAGGTCTGTAATCTTGGCACTCTGAGAAGCAGACAGGAAGGCTGTAAATTCAAGCCCAGCCTGGGTAATCTAGTAGTTTAGTGGGACCCTGTCTCCAAAAAAAGCCTGGGGATATAGCTCAGTGTGAAGCCTTCTGCCATGCTAAAATATCCCCCCAAAGCCTCCTTGGAGTGTTTGGAAGGTGGTTGCTCTGTGGGGACCATTAATCCGGAATGTGACGTTAGGAGGTGGGGCCGGGTTGGAGATAGGTCCTGGTGCAGCCTGGAAGGATCTGCTCCTGCCCCTGCTCCTCCCTTCTCTCTGCTTCCTGGCTGCCACAGGTCGAACAGCTTTTCTCCACCAAGCCTTTTGCCCTGCGGTTTCTGCATCGGAGCCAGCTGACCATGGATTGAAATTGTGAGCTAAAGCAAACTTTTTCTCCTGTAAATTGTGGATATCAGGTACTTCGTCCCAGTGACAAGAAAGTGGCTAAGACAAATCATCAGTACCACAAAAAGAAGAATTTTACAAGTCAAGAGCAAAAGCCCCAAGAAAGACAGCCAAGCATACAAACGATGAAAAGAGTACAAATAAGCTTTCAGCTTGTGGAAAGATTATGGTCTCCATTCAGATGGGGGAAGAATGAATTTTAAGTTACCATTCCTCACCATGGGATTGTCACAAAGCCAAAGGTCACCCGCTCTGAACGGAATGACTCATGTTCAGGATTATCTATTCATCATGACCTTGCGAGAGCAAAATTTGGGAATCCATCCAAGCAGCTATCAAAAGTGGGGCAGGTTGCAGAGCTTGCTACCTGTTGGAACCTGCACACCTGTACAGCGACGAGGACCAAGGAAAGGGGACAAGCTCACTGATGACAGGGGAAGGTCTGCAGCGACACTGTAAGTGACCCAGTCTCAGATGGGGTGGGTGTTCTTTTTGCTTGATTTTGCAAAAGCAACCTGGGCACCCAGGAAACGCTGGGGCTGTGGGTGCCACCTCAGTATTTACCTTTTTATATAGTTTTAACTGTGAACCGTGTGCACTATGACCTAATATACAAATATGGTCACCTGAAATGAAGTTTCACTCTGGTTCTTTTTCTCCTGAAAGCACAGAACTCTCCAGCCCACAGACCTCGGGAGCCCACCTACCCAGCCCTCCACCCTCAGTCTGCTGTCATCCTGCCAGCCGCCAGCCTGATTCCCAGTGTCACCATTAGAGCGGCAGGCGCGTGAGCTGCCTGGCGAACCTCAGCTCTGCCGCGCCCCGGGCGACCCTGGGCAGGTGACTTCGCCTCTGTCTCATTTCCCTCCCTGCCAATCAAGGACTCCAACTGAGGGACCTCACAGCTTGTGATGGGGGTACAACAGTGCCGGACATGCTTTATTATGGAGTGATGTCAGGCTCAGTTGTTTTTTCTTTTACTTCACGTGAAAATTTCTACACAACTGTTAAAATGAAAACAACAAAATGTTTTCCAGCAGTTTGGAACTGAAATCACCCTGGGGCCAACCAGTGGGCCTGGGCCAACCTACTCCGGATCTGGGGCCACCCCGCTCTGGACCAGCAGGCAGATGCCAGCCAGGAATCTCCAGCACCCTGGCTGGTGCCCCCTCCTGCGTCCCCACACAGAGCACAGAAATACCAAAGGCTGCAGCCGGGCTCCCTGCTGCCCACTTCCTTGGCACAATCCCTGAGCTTGCCAGTGGCCAGGCCAGGAGGGGGGTACCCAGGGCAGAACAGACTCCTGGGCGGCCTCAAGGCTGCTTGTGCTGGCCTGGAGCCCCCACCCCAGCCTGTCACATCTACTCAGGTGGGGAAAGCTCCTGGCTGCCCACCTTCCCAGTGTCCTCTGTGCCCGAGGTCTGCTTTGCCACCCAGCACATTGAGGACAGACAGCCTTTCAGGTCTCCATTCAGATGGGGGAAGAATGAATTTTAAGTTACCATTCCTCACCATGGGATTGTCACAAAGCCAAAGGTCACCCGCTCTGAACGGAATGACTCATGTTCAGGATTATCTATTCATCATGACCTTGCGAGAGCAAAATTTGGGAATCCATCCAAGCAGCTATCAAAAGTGGGGCAGGTTGCAGAGCTTGCTACCTGTTGGAACCTGCACACCTGTACAGCGACGAGGACCAAGGAAAGGGGACAAGCTCACTGATGACAGGGGAAGGTCTGCAGCGACACTGTAAGTGACCCAGTCTCAGATGGGGTGGGTGTTCTTTTTGCTTGATTTTGCAAAAGCAACCTGGGCACCCAGGAAACGCTGGGGCTGTGGGTGCCACCTCAGTATTTATCTTTTTATATAGTTTTAACTGTGAACCGTGTGCACTATGACCTAATATACAAATATGGTCACCTGAAATGAAGTTTCACTCTGGTTCTTTTTCTCCTGAAAGCACAGAACTCTCCAGCCCACAGACCTCGGGAGCCCACCTACCCAGCCCTCCACCCTCAGTCCGCTGTCATCCTGCCAGCCGCCAGCCTGATTCCCAGTGTCACCATTAGAGCGGCAGGCGCGTGAGCTGCCTGGCGAACCTCAGCTCTGCCGCGCCCCGGGCGACCCTGGGCAGGTGACTTCGCCTCTGTCTCATTTCCCTCCCTGCCAATCAAGGACTCCAACTGAGGGACCTCACAGCTTGTGATGGGGGTACAACAGTGCCGGACATGCTTTATTATGGAGTGATGTCAGGCTCAGTTGTTTTTTCTTTTACTTCACGTGAAAATTTCTACACAACTGTTAAAATGAAAACAACAAAATGTTTTCCAGCAGTTTGGAACTGAAATCACCCTGGGGCCAACCAGTGGGCCTGGGCCAACCTACTCCGGATCTGGGGCCACCCCGCTCTGGACCAGCAGGCAGATGCCAGCCAGGAATCTCCAGCACCCTGGCTGGTGCCCCCTCCTGCGTCCCCACACAGAGCACAGAAATACCAAAGGCTGCAGCCGGGCTCCCTGCTGCCCACTTCCTTGGCACAATCCCTGAGCTTGCCAGTGGCCAGGCCAGGAGGGGGGGTACCCAGGGCAGAACAGACTCCTGGGCGGCCTCAAGGCTGCTTGTGCTGGCCTGGAGCCCCCACCCCAGCCTGTCACATCTACTCAGGTGGGGAAAGCTCCTGGCTGCCCACCTTCCCAGTGTCCTCTGTGCCCGAGGTCTGCTTTGCCACCCAGCACATTGAGGACAGACAGCCTTTCTGATGAGATTTAGCTCCTGGTGGGCAAGGTGGAAACTCATGGGCCAAGCCAGGCAGAAGCCTTGTCATTTTGGTTTGCTCATTGTGATACACAATTCCATACTGTCATCTGCAAGTCAGGGGATGTCGTTCAAAATTCAGCGTATTTGGTTTCTGAGGAACATTTCAGAAGACCTGGCCACACAGATCCACATGCCTGCATGGCAACAATACCTCTGACCCTCCTTAACTTGGGCTCCCCTCTCTGGCCTACATGGTACATCAATCCCTCTCCAAGCCTTCTGCTTTTCATCTTTGTGTGTGTGTGTGTGTGTGTGTGTGTGTGTGTGTGTGCGTGCACGTGCCAGGCATCGAACTCAGGACCTTGCACTTGCAAGGCAGGCAGTGGCACCACTGAGCTAAATCCCTGGTCCTTTTCATCTGTTTTTCTGCCTGGAACTCAGATGTGAGGGCCAGAACTCTAGAAGTCATTTTGTACTCTGAAGGACTGCAATCCCTTGGGATTTTGTGACAGCCACACCAGCGCTGTTCTGCCTTTGCTGAACCATGTTGTTCACTTGTTTAATGTTGTTTAAGATGTTAAACTTCTGTGTTATTATTCTTACTTTATATACAGCAAAACACTGGCAAAGTGAACAGAGATGTATACTCAGGGATATGTATTTGCTGATTTTAGTAATCAAAAGCTAATGAATATATTGACCTCCTTTGTACTCCTGGTCCCCCAACTCAGGAAATCAGGTCTTCCCTCAACCAGAGTTTTATGAAAAATCAAAATCTAACAATAGCTGTTTAGACTTGCCTTAAAAAGACACTAAGAAACACATGGAATGAAGTTTTGCCTGGTTCTAGAATTGCAAAACAAAGGCATTTAAAATCTTCAGCAGCATATGGTGGCACATACCTTTAATCCCAGGACTTTGTGAGTCTGAGGCAGGAAGATCACGAGTTCAAGCCCAGCCTGGGAAATATAGTGACTTAGTGAGACCCTATCTCAAAAATAGAAAAAAAAAAAAAAAAAACGGGCCATGGATGAAGTACAGTGAAAAAGTCGTTCGATCCCTAGTACTGTAAGAAAAGAAAAGAAAAAAAAAGACATTAAAAGGTTATGCGTAAACTTGGGGTCAAAGGTCTTTCAAAGAAATTTAAAAAAGCACAAGGTCCTGAGTTCGATCCCCAGTACCAGGAAAACAAAAACAAAAACAAAAAAAAACTGGCCTGGGCAACTTAGTGAGAACTTATCTCAAGACGAAAAATAAAATGGGAAGGGGTGTACTTCAGCATGAGGCCCTGGGTTTGATCCCCCAGTGCTGGAAAAAGAAAGAAAGAAAGGAAAAAGAAAAAAGAAAGAGGAAGGAGGAAGGAACTGGGCGTGGTGGTGTGGGCCACCAGCCTGCACTTGGGAGGCTGAGGTAGAAGGAGCACCATGAGTTCGAGGTCAGCCTGGGCTAGATCCTGTCTCAAAAACCAAAAAAAAAAGAAAAAAGAAGAGAAGAGAAAATAAACTTAGATCCAGAATCCTCTGTTATGAGGGTCAGGCCTGTGGCTTCTCTGTATTCTGAGTAGCACCTGCTTTCCCTGTGAGCCCCAGGCATCCTGGGAAGGGACAGAAGCACAGTGGGGTGGCAGCTGGACCAGCTGCTCCAGGGCAGCCCAGCAGAATGGGCAAAGGCAGCAAGGCTCAGGAGGCAGTGAACGACACTCCTCATCCAGGAACAAGTTAATTATTAAAGGCAGCAGGTGGCTTCACAGAAGGTGGCGGCCTTTGGCGGCTGGAAAGTGGTTCTGCTGTTCCACTGTGTGTGGTTGGCAGGTGTTGGGTTACACAGCTACAAGCCTGGGACCTGGACATCTGGACAGCTCAGTGCCAGGTGAACCCTCCGCTCATCGCACAGCCGTCCTGGGTCTGATTACAGCACTG